AGCTTCCGCTTTTAGAAAGTTTTCAAATGTAAATAGCGAAAGTTAAAGAACGTTCAAACTAACTCTCAATTGAAAGAACTTTGATATTTATATATATATATACAGATATATATACGAGTTCTGTTCAAAATTGATTTATTTATCCTTTTATGCGCTTTAAAGTAATCCTCATTTGATATTCGCATCTCGCAGCACTTCAATTAATCATATTTTGTAATCTTGTGCAGTTCTTGCTAACTTTTCAATTCAGCTTTCGTAGTTCTCTTCAGGAAGAAAAAACAGGTCTTGGCATCATTATTTCTTGTTTTTGGCCAAATATTTGACACAGCTTCTTTGCTACATTCGTTGGAATAGTCAAAAAATCTCTTCAGAAATCGAATATCTGTAGTCCGCGTAAGTTCAATGTTTGCTGTACTTTTCGAACAGACCTGGTCTATCTACTAAACATATTTTATGTCTATATACATTCTATATATATATATATATCTATAATTGACAGCTATGACATGCAGATGTTCAAGGGCTGGGCTGGGCTGGCTGTCAATCTTAAAGGTTCTTTTTTGCATTCCCTTTGTAAACAGCTTAATGGAAAAACTGCCAAAAATGGTGAGAATGTGGCAAGTCTGTCAAAGACTGCGTGAATTAACGGGAAAAGCGGAAGGCAGGAAGGAAGAACGAAGAAGGAAGAAGAGCATCGATAGAATGGTGTTATAGTTGTTGCCATTGATTGACACGCAATGCGAACACGTTGCCCAAATGTGGGCAAATGCTGCAGGACAGTGCACCAATGGGCGACAGACAGACGCACGGTTGCCACGCTGTCTGCCAGTGACATGCTAATTGGAGCACGTAGCGCGGACAGTGGGGACAGCCCAAAGCCCAGCGCAAGGTACGTACGTAAAATGAAGAAATGCACTTAATTGGACCAAACGAAGTGCGTTAGTTTCTGCTGGCTGTCAGTCGTGAATGCCATACGATTAATTAGTGAAAATCTGACAGAAAGAAACGGGTCGAGAGAAGGATGGGGATACTAAGCTATGCGCGATTTGTTTGCCATTAGGAATGCATAGATGCACGCTCCAATCATATGCTATTACAAATGCAATTAAATTCTAAACTACATTTCACATTCAATTCGAATTCGATTTGGATTAGAGCAAAAACAAAAGGAAAAAAGAAACAAAAATTGGTATTCGACTATTTTAGCGTAAAGTTAAATGAAAATTGATCAGATAGAGTTATTTGATAGAAGAACTCGATGATGCATTCATTGCTATGCAGCGGAATATAAAAGTTGACTTAGAGTAAAATTTTTACAATGAATGCTACACCAAACATAAGCGCTTTAGTCGAAAGTATCCGACTGTGATATACCTCGAACTGAGCTTCTATTTGTAATTTGTAATGATTATATATATATATAATTATATAATGCGACAATGTTGATGAGGTTAATGATGATTTATCAAATGATATGCATAATGATGATAATGACGAAGATGATCATGATCACGTACTTAATGACCACAATAACTAGGCTTGGTTATTATCATTTTCAATATAATGATTATTATATTATATATTATATATTTTATATATTTTATTATTATATATTTTATTACAACAATCATCAGAATTATACTGTTATATATCTTTATTTAATTTCATTTAATTTATATGTATTTCACTTTAACTTCAAGTTTAACTTTGTCCTACAAATGTTCTTTGCATTTTTCCAAGAAGTTGGTCATTTGTAGCTCATCAAAAATTAACTAAGGCATCCTTTTTTTCGTCTACTCCTTTAAGTTTTGTGACGTTTTTCTGGGAAGTTTTACGTAATGTAAGGACGCTTAACCCCAACAGCTAACATTTGACACATTAAGAAGGCTGCCTTTGGGCACAGTCAGAGCAAATTAACATTTCTGTTGTCATTCTCTGACTGTCTAAGCCGCTTACGTGATATGCATAAGTTGCGCCAGTGGCAGACTGAAGCAGCGCCACAGACTATCCTTGCTGACTGCCTGCCAGCCTTTTGGCTCCACCTAATTAGCGTCGGAACTGAGAAAAGTTCTTAAGCTGCAGTTAAAAGGCATAAAACTCATGCGCGCCGTTTGGCGATATGTTAAATTCATAATTTCAATTTGAAATTGTTATTATAGCCAGTTTTGTCTTAGTTGGTCTAGCAATCTCCCCACGCCCCTAGCACACGCCTCATTATTATTGACAGTTGCCGCCGTCAGAGATTTCTGTTGTTGATGTTGCTGTTGCTGTTGCTGCTGCTGCTGCTGCTGTTATGGCTCTCATTTTAGTCTCATAAATATGCAAATTAATCATTTGCGGAAATTTGCATACTTAATAAGTTGCTTTAATTAAATGTTCACGCACGCATGCCGCACAATCTTTCCCCCAGGAATCCTTTTGCCCGCGAATCCTTTTCGGCCCAAATGCCACTTTAAAGCGCCAACTTGTTAATTGCGCGAAATCCCCGCCCCAAACCCTAAGCCCCAAAAAGAGGCAAAGGAAATAAATAAAAAATAAAAAAAAAACAAATGTAAAAATATGTTAATAAATAAATAAAGAGAAACACGAGAGAGAGAAAAACTCTATTTCTATGGGAAATATCTACTCAAATTTGTAGCTAGCTGGATTGGCCAACTGTTTGCCTCATATTTAGGGACACAGTCACGTACCAAATAGCCGCAGAGCCCCAAAAACAAAACAAAATAAAAATAAACAATATGAATAAAGACAAGTAAGTCGGCATCAGTTGAGAGCAATGCTTTAAGAGATACCCAGCATCAGTGCTACGCTTTCTCTCAATCAAAGAAACTAAGGCTCGAACTTTCTTTAGAGATCAAAGAGCTGAATCAATCTATCTCTCTCTACCTATTTAGCTTCATCTGTGCGGCAAACTCTAGCTCATAACAGCACAGATGAGAGGATATATTTCTACCTAAACAAGCAGCTATAACTACTCAAGGGATCAGCTGATAATTTATAGTTGTGTTCATATATGTTGATATATTTATGTTTATATATTTATAGTTGTGTTCACGAAAATATTAGTGCTGCAATACATAAAGCAGCACTACTATTTTTATGAACACATATGCTTATCTATCTGGTTTGATAGTTAATACTATACATTATATCATACATACATACATACATACACATTATATACTTACAGTCACATCAACCTTTGTTCGCTGTCTGCACCTACTCAACATCATGCACAACTTCACAATTTACAGGGTATATTAACAGTTCTTATCTGCATACTGCTAGCAACTTTTATTATTTTCGGTTCTCTTCTTCTTATTTTTTATGTGTACAACATTTTTTTCAAAATGAACAGCAGCCGAAAAAAGCAAAATAAGAATCTACAAAGTATATATCTTTTATGTATATATAATATAATATATAATATAATATATATATATATGCAAACGGCGAGGCGCAGCCGACATAAATTAACATTTTTATGCGCCGCTGCAATGGACGAAGAGGACGCCAAGCAAGCAGCAAGAGCAGTGAAGCTGGAGCAATAGAATCACAGTCAAAGCATAAGCTTGAAAATGGGCGCTTCTCTAAGGCCCCGCATTATTTACGATGGGGCTGACACTGCCAAAACTGGGCGTGAAGATGAGTCGGGTATGTGTGTTTGTTTTTATGTGTGTGTGTGTGTGGCTGTCTGCTGCTGCGTAACCATTCACATTTCTTCATTACATTTCATTTTATTTCAGTTCACAGCATTGCGAGAGCCACGTTTATTTATTTGCCATTCGGCAGCGCCTTTGCCCTTTGCCTGGCTGGCAAATAATTTTAATTGGTTTTGCCCCGCCCTCACCCTCGCCCACGCCCACGATTCGATTGAAGGAAATGATGTCGAAGTGATTTCAACTGCAATACGCGACTATATATATCTATACACACATATTTATATGTACATCTCTTGTCATGTTTGTGGATCTTATTATAAAAGTTGTAGTTCTTCAGTTCAACAGATGTGTGAGTGTGTGTGTGTGTGTGCACGTTCTTGGCAGCCTCAATTGCAAAATCAATTTGTTTCATAATTTCCATAAGTGCGTTTGTGTGTTTACACATTGCATGGCTTTTGACTAGTTCATTTGCACACAGATAATAAGCTTGAGCAGAAAAATATCCATTTATAGATATATCTTTATATATATGCATATATATCTGTATGCTTGCAAGCCATCTAGTTTGTTGGCATTTGAATGCATTGAACTGCTCTAAAACAATGTTATTTTTCCATCTGAGCAAATTGTAAGTTAGTTGGAAAATTGCACAGCGATGCTTGGCTGGACTGTTTATGCTCAATTTGGTAAGAATGTATCTTAGAAATATTGTTAAAAATATTCAGAGCTCAAAGCTTTTTGTGGTTGTATTGATCAAGTTACAAGAGTCTTCAAATTTTTATAAATCAAGTTCAATCTAAAGATATTTTAATTAAAATAAGAATCGGCATTTAGCAGCAAAAAAAAGACAATCATTGCAAGACATAGCTTGAAAACAAAATGTATATATAAATAATAGATTTATTTCTGTTTTATTATTTCCATAGATAAATGAAAGCTTAAAATCCGTATTCAACAACTATATCATGTACTTATGTCATATTAGCTCGCATCCCTTATCTGCGACAGGGTATCTAAACTGCGGCATCTCAAACTCTTCATTAAGTCATCATTTCATTGCTTTACCACAGCTAATAGAAAATAGAAAAACAAAACAATAAGCCAGCTTTTCAGATCAGACAGTCCTCGCTCAGCGTTAAAATGATAACGGAAAATAACAGAATTAAAACACCTTGTGCGCCATCTGTTATAGAGTATTTAAGCTGCGGCACTTCAAACTCTTCATGAACTCTTCATTCCATGCAAATACTTGCAAAATTAATCGCCTTACAAGTTCTTGAACCATATTTACCAGTTACATAGCTCAAAGTAAAAGAGAAAGAGAAAGAGTTCGCTTACTTGCATGCAGCTCAATTCCAATAGGTTTCCAATTGCTTTGCAGTTTACGCTTTATCAACTGATCCTTTGTTTTCGTTTGTTTTTGTTTTTTTTTCTATTTGCTTTTATGCTGTACTTATCAGCGACGCTCCGTTTCACTTTCAGCTTGATGCCGTCGTTGTTGTTGCTTAACACGCCATTGTTTAGTATGCGGCGTCCATCATTTAGGATTCAGCGACACATATACAATAACAATAACAAGACACACTCACACACATACGCGCGACAAAGCTTCTGCTGCTGTTGTTGTTGTTACTATTGCTGTTGCTGCTTGGCACATTTTGCAGAAAGAGAGCGCGAGAATTCATTAGGCATGCGGGAATTTTAATTTCACTTGCTCACACACGCGCACATATGTGGCGACATATTTCTCAAACATTTTCGCTGCGTACGACGACGGCGACGGCGAAGGCGAATCGGCGACGTCAGTTTTTTATGCTGCGACGGCTGCTGCGGCCGACTTCTCCTGCTACTGTTGGCGTTGTTTTAGTGTTGTTTTTGCTTAGACGCTTTGCTATTTGCATGCTGCTGCTGGCTGACCTTGGTGTCAAGTGTTAAAAACTATGCCACACATTCGCACACACGCACGTTGAGACAATAGAGCGAGCCAACGACCGCAACAACAACAACAGAACGCGACGTTGACAGCTGTCAAAATTGTTCGAAGCGAACGCCTCATTCACAGACGCACAACGCAAACCGCGACAACCTGCGGCGGCCGGTTCGGCGAAAATGCCACCAGAAACAGAATAAAGTAAGCCGCGATGATTTCCATGCTGTGCAGGGTGGATGGCTAACAGTAACAATACCAAAATGGGGGCACCAGGATTTGAGTGGGGGTTGCCGTACACGTTTAATGTTCAAGTCAAGTGCGAAGCTTATGCGCCTCGAAAGGTGCGCGTGAGTGCGTCTGTTTTTGTGTCTACGTGTGTGTGTTGCTATGTCGTCTATGTGTTGGTGTGCTTTTTTTCTTTCTTTTTTGGTTGCTTGGAACGTTTGCTACGGTCTTTCTTTTGTTCTACGCGCACGCGGGCGCTGCCAGTCTGATGACAAATTTTCGCACACGTTCTCCTTGTTGTTGTTGCAAGACAAACACAAAACTTCCAGTTGTTTTTTTAACTCTCACTGCTGATTATTTGCTTTCCCTTTCTAGCCTGCACTTTGTAACGTTTTTATTGCTGTTTTTCTTTTATTTCTTTTTTAGATTGGATGTTGCTATTACTAGTGCTATTGTCCTTTGTCTTGCTACGCTTTGTTGTCTGGCTGTCTATTATATTTTTTTTAATTATTGGCAACGCTGCTGCTGCTGCTGCTGCTGCTATTTCTTTTCAGCGCGTTGTTTGCATAATTTTGCGAGAGGCGAGCGCCTGCAAGTGCCGTTAATCCTTTCACTTTCCGCTTTCGCTTTTACTTTTTGTCATTCGCCTGCACTTGGCTAACGAGCTGATGATGATATTGCTGACATACCGACAGAGCGAGAGCCGCAAGTGTGGACATGTGCGAACATGATACCCATTAGCACGTGGCAATCATCATCAGCATTTAGCATCGATTTGACAGCGTGAACCAAACGGCACGGCCCGCCCGCTGACCAATTCGAATTTTCGTCTGCCTAATTGCGTTTGCTTTTTGACACAAACAGCTGCTCGCTTTACAGCAATTCAAGTTTTACTGTAATTTTTCCGCACCAATACAAATGCAAATTGGCCGAAATCACATTAAAATTCTGCCACGCATTGAATACGCTCGCCAAAGTGCGGCACTTTTATTTACAGTTATTCGCGTTTTTCATTCTCCCGTTATTCATTTAAACTCGCGCACGCACATATTAAACGATTTAAATTTCAGCTATTTTTTTTCCACGACTGCGTTCACTCAGTCCACACGCTTACATTTTTATATTCACTTTATTGTATTTCCCTTTCTTACATTTTTTGGTGTATATTTTCATCTCCGCGTTGCGCGTTCACAACACCGCACAGACTCCGACTATGAACTGGCGAGTGCTTGTGGATGGCTCTACAATTTAGTACTGAGATTCTTTGTGCCACCTCTTCGGCTGGGGCGCTCATTTGTGTGTAGAGTTGCGCAGGATGCTGGTGCTCTCGTGTGCGCTTTCCAGCCCAAAACCGCCGCCTGCCGAACGCGCCAACTAACAGTTGAAAACTCTCCACTCCCGACATACCGCTATCTATTGCGCGCTGTTAAGCAGGTGGAGTATGTTATTCTAGTGAGCAACATGCTGTTAAGTCTACCGCTCAGCTGATATCGTAGTGTATCGATATGCGCAACAACGTTGCCTCTAGACATATCGATAGTATCGTTGGCACATTTTGTATGACTCTGGCCACACAGACGTGCAGCGAACGTGAGCCGAACGGCAACCATCTTTGTGAAAAATACCTACGAGTCTGGAGAGCAGTCGGTGTAGGAATTAAATAATTTCTGCGGCTTATAAAAAGTTAAAAATATAAAAAAAATAACGATGATTTCTGCTCGTTTGGCATCGTCGGTCGCACGCAACTTGCCCAAGGCGGCCGCACAGGTATAAAAACAATTATACGAGTAAAAGAAAAAAAAAATAGTTCCAAAAATGCAAATATATTAAACACATAACCCAATCCAATTGGCCATAGATTCCAAGTAAAAGGTTCAATTAAATCTTCTGAATAACTTCAAGCTGTATAATACGCTTGCCCCGCTGTATTTCCACTTGCCAATTACTTTAAATTAGTTTTGGCAAAAGTTTTAGTTTTGTGTTACGCAATGCCGCACAAAAAAAAATTACATAACACGTATAAGCGACTGCGTGCAATTATTTAGCAACATATAAGTTCTTAAAATCAAAATTGAAGTGTGATATTTGTTATAAGGATTTGTGTTTTCATCGGGAAAAGTTACATAATTTTGTCAACGGGGCTCAACTGCAGTCGCTGCTGCGTGTTGGCCAAGCAGAGTTTGAGGTTATGAGCGTGCGTTTTCAAGCAAACTTGCAAAAAAAAATACATATACAAATATATAGAACATAAATATATGAAATAAAATTTTAAAATAATTTAACTCAGTTAAAATCATCTTCAAAGTGTAAATTCATATGTAAATTTTGTTAGTTTGGCCGGTGGCCCGCTTATAGCTGTTTGCTGTGCGTTAGAATGAGATAGCAGCTGTTCTGCTCATGTGGTTATTCAATTCTGTCCCGCCCCCTCCCTCTCTTTTGTCGGTGCTCCTTATATAAGATAATCTAATATTCATATTCTTCTACAGGTTGCCTGCAAGGCTGCATATCCAGCTAGCACTCTTGCTGCCCGCAAATTCCATGTGGCCAGCTCACAGCGCAGCGCAGAAATCTCCAACATTTTGGAGGAGAGAATCCTGGGCGTTGCACCCAAGGCCGATCTGGAAGAAACTGGCCGTGTGCTGAGCATTGGTGATGGTATCGCTCGTGTGTATGGTCTGAACAACATCCAGGCCGATGAGATGGTGGAATTCTCTTCGGGCCTTAAGGGCATGGCCCTCAATTTGGAGCCCGACAATGTCGGTGTTGTCGTCTTCGGTAACGACAAGCTGATCAAGCAGGGCGATATTGTCAAGCGTACTGGTGCTATTGTCGATGTCCCAGTCGGTGATGAGCTGCTCGGCCGTGTTGTTGATGCTCTGGGTAATACCATTGATGGCAAAGGCGCCATCAATACCAAGGATCGTTTCCGTGTCGGTATCAAGGCTCCTGGTATCATTCCTCGTGTGTCTGTGCGCGAGCCCATGCAGACTGGTATTAAGGCCGTCGATTCTCTGGTGCCCATCGGTCGTGGTCAGCGTGAGTTGATCATCGGCGACAGACAGACTGGGTGAGTGAACCTCTTCAGCTTCTCTTTCAATTACTGGTCACTTATCATTTACCTTTTTGCTTTACAGTAAGACTGCCCTGGCTATTGATACCATCATCAACCAGAAGCGTTTCAATGACGGTCAGGATGAGTCGAAGAAGTTGTACTGTATCTACGTTGCTATTGGCCAGAAGCGTTCCACTGTCGCCCAGATTGTGAAGCGTTTGACCGACTCCGGTGCCATGGGATACACCATCATTGTGTCTGCCACCGCCTCTGATGCCGCTCCTCTGCAGTATTTGGCTCCCTACTCTGGCTGCGCCATGGGTGAATACTTCCGTGACAAGGGCAAGCACGCCCTGATCATCTATGATGATTTGTCCAAACAGGCTGTGGCCTACCGTCAGATGTCCCTGCTGCTGCGTCGTCCCCCAGGTCGTGAGGCCTACCCCGGTGATGTGTTCTATCTGCATTCGCGTCTGTTGGAGCGTGCCGCTAAGATGTCGCCCGCTATGGGTGGTGGTTCATTGACCGCTCTGCCCGTGATTGAGACCCAGGCCGGTGATGTGTCCGCCTACATTCCAACCAACGTCATTTCGATCACTGACGGTCAGATCTTCTTGGAAACCGAGTTGTTCTACAAGGGTATCCGTCCCGCTATCAATGTGGGTCTGTCTGTGTCCCGTGTCGGTTCCGCTGCCCAGACCAAGGCCATGAAGCAGGTTGCCGGTTCCATGAAGCTGGAGTTGGCCCAATACCGTGAGGTCGCTGCCTTCGCCCAGTTCGGTTCAGATTTGGATGCTGCCACCCAGCAGCTGCTGAACCGTGGTGTGCGCCTAACTGAGCTGCTCAAGCAGGGCCAGTATGTGCCCATGTCCATTGAAGATCAGGTATACATATCATCATTTGCTCCAACCTCATGCAACTGATACAAACTATATAAATGAATACTCATTCTCCTCGGACTTAGGTTGCTGTCATCTACTGCGGTGTGCGCGGTCACTTGGACAAGATGGATCCCTCAAAGATCACCAAGTTCGAGAAGGAGTTCTTGCAGCACATCAAGACCTCCGAGCAGAGTCTGCTCGACTCCATTGCCAAGGATGGACAAATCTCTGAGTCCGCCGATGCTAAGCTTAAGGACATCGTCCAGAAGTTCATGGCTACCTTCCAGGGTTAAACAACAGCAACAGCAAGAATAGAAACAGAAGCGTGCAGTCATATCCTAGATATGGAGCAGAATCCAACAGCAAATCCTTTCAATCTAATAAAGTAATTAATTTCTAAGCCGCTAGTCGCGTTAAGAATTGATTTTAAACTGCCCAGCTGCGCGTCGATGATAAACAACAACAGCAATAACAACATTATCATCGAAAAGAAAAACCAACCTCTATACACCATAAGAAAATACAAACAACATAAAAATTATAAAACTTAAAGAAAAAAAACCTTTGCGCATTCATGTTTTCCTTAGCTGCACTTCTCGCGTCTCGTCCTTTGCCACACATCGGGAGAGAGAGCAGGACGGTCGTGAGAAATGTCTCAGCGAAAGGATGCTCTTCGAATTTCAGCATTAGCCACCTCCCCCACTAAAATACTGATAATACTGTTTAAATCTATAATCAATATTTGACATATTGTAATCGAAAATAGTCGAAAAAAGAAAAAGTTTGTGGATGATTGTGAAACGATGGAAATAAAAAACGATACTATAATTAACTTAACAATATGATCCATACTGCTCTATATATCTGGTAGTTTTAAAACTATTTTATCTTGGAAATTTCTACATAAGATAAAAATAGAAATGGAATTTGAGCAGCTGGAAACTTAAAACGTTTTCTTTCCATATGGATTCACATATATGATAAAGTCGGGTTTTAAGTTTAAATAGAACTTATATCTGGCAGTATGCATTTTAGGTATAGTTTTAGCAAAAGTATATTTCTCCTATGGGAAAAATCATTTTGGAAGATATGATAGACTTTTGCCTCTCTAACTTGAACTATATATGGACACTTCTATCTTTTCTACTCCGTAGAAACAAAATCGCCTGGTCTACCCATTTTGCTAAATTATATATATATTAATATATTGACTAGGATAGATATTCTTCTAATATTTCCTGCAATCTGATATGATTTTCTATATGGTATGAAAACCTTAATCGTCCATTGTAAAGCATATTGGGGTATTGTCAGTAGTCTAAAACTGAAAGGTAAAATTATGGTTAATATCTGAACTACGATTGGTATTATGATATTCTTGATTTACTACCTACCGGTTCCCCCAGTTCTTGTTATGTTAAAAGCTCCTCAACAACTAGTCAAAGTTTATCTATATTGACAAATTCTATAAATTTCAAGCACAATAAAATTAGGCAAAAACTTACTGGGATTAGCTAATGGATCGCATATGTCTAAAATATGCATAGCTAAATATGGAACGCTCGTAATCCAGCTTTGTAATACCCAAACAAAGATCAACTTAGTTCACCTTAAGTCACCCCAACTATGCCATCTTTCTAGACATTCCCACAGCACCTTTTCGGCTGTCCTAGGTAAACAACGAGCAAAAATTGTTGCTAATTGAAAATGCTGTCGCAGGCAGACACCAGTCAGACGTACAGACAGGCAGGCAGGACGAGGTCCTTTCAGCTAAGCCGTGCACAGTCTCAGCTGATCTGTCGGGCAGCAGCAGCTGTTGCTGCAGTTCTTTTCTGTCTCTCTCTCTTCTCACAACCTTTCGCAATGACCTTGCAGCCTCGCAGCAGGATCTGCAGCAACTACCTGGACAAGGATAACATACAGAGTCTGGCCGCAGTTTAATAGACGCTGCTTCACGCTCTGCATATTTGGTTAACAGTCAAGCAGAAAAGGGCGCAAGGCTAGCAACGAGCACAATCGACTGCAGATACCCATATCCAGGATATGGCGACTCCTGCCGAGGGGCTCAGAAGGCATACAAAAAATGACTGTGATTTGTCAAAGAGAGTACGAGAGAGAGTAAGAGGGAGACAACCTCTAAGCGACACTCCGTTGTTGTTGTTGCTTGTGCTTTCTTTTTTTATTACATTTGTTTGCTCGTAAAAGTGTCGAAATTAATGAGCGCTATAAAACCGTCAAACTTGAATTTCGAACAGGCGAACAGAAGCCACAGCAGCAAGCGCAGCGCAGTCGCCGCCATTCGCACTCACAGTTGAGCTCTCGGTCGTACGCACACAGACACCCGCTCACACACACACAAGCACGCAACACATTAACATACACGTGCGCGTGCAGACAATACCGACGTCGCTGTCGGCGTTGAGCCAATGCTGCCCAGGCAATTGCCATAAAGCAGCGTCAGAACAACGGAGAGCGACAGAGAGAGTAATCACGCACACAAACACACGCACACACATGTTCAGCCAGCAAATGAAGTTGAAAGAAACATAAGGGCGGGAAAATACTGACCTGCGATCAAAGAGAACACTGCAAAACGAAAACGGTAAGGAGCAATACAGCCTTTGTATGATTTTTGTTGATTTCTTATGTATGTTTGGCAGTTGATAAGGGCCGCCCAGGGGTCGTCTATCATTTTGTATTCTTCGACTTCTTGTTACGCTCTGATTTTTAACTTTCTCACAGACACTGCCATCAGCCGCTGACGAAGCAGTAGTACAAAGGGAAAGGGAAAAATATTTAAAAAGAAAAACATGGCGGGGGCACTTCTTGCTGCAGGATATTTGCTTTTTAATGGAATTTTTGTTTGTTAAATATTTATATTTAAAAATTTATTTAATACATAGAGCACAATTTCCAAATCCAAATTGCTTAAGCTAAGTATAATATAATATGCATATAAAATGGCGTATTTGTTGCCGGGTTCTTTATTTTTTTTTAGTTCTTTTTTTTTTGTTTTGGGAAAGTAACTTAAAATACTTTGAGAGGCAACGCCGATATCTTTAGCCAGCAAATGCGCCCGTTGCTCACCGGTTTATCTCTTCTTTTTTTGCTTGTCTTCTCTGAGGGCTGATTGTTAAAAACAAGTTACATACAAACATACACATATATATAGTATATATATATAGTAGCAGTAGGGGTGAGAGGGGAGAACAAAAAGGTAGACCAGAAGAATAAACTCAAGCAAATGTTTAGCTAATTAATGCAAAAGATGCTGAGCCCACACTGGATCCGGTTATACTATATATATAGATATAGATGTTAGGGGTAGGGGCAGGGGTAGACTGGGAGATTGAGGTTAACTACAATTAAACATAATCATTATGCACAATTATTAATCAATTACACGCGCACACTCACATACATATAAAGAACGAGCAAGAGAAATTACACAAATTTAAAATAGAAAACAAAAAATTGAACTAAACGTGAACTGCAGTCAATATTAACGCCAACTGCTGGGCTGGGGGTTGGGTACTTGGTGTAGGGGAGTTATTGTTTTATGTGTGTGTACTTCTTCCATTTCATTCCAACTATTTTTTGCCCACAATCGAATCCAACAGCGGGCTGCTTAGCTCCGGGCGCAATGCTATCTTCTGGAACTTGTTCGCCTGATATTTAGTGTAAATGGCCCTCAATTTAGCAGTGGGCGCATCCCGAGCCAATTTCGCAATTTGTCGTGCAATCGGACGCAAATAGGCAGCTGTATAACGGGAATAGTGAACCAATGTGGGTGTCCAGTGCCTGTCGCTAAAGCCGGTGGCGGCGCGAGAATTGCCATTGAGCAAGTGCAACGACAGGAAGAGCGAAGCTGCTGCAATCTGCAAAGATCAATTTTATTTATAATATATAGATTTAACTCATAGGTATTTGAACTGCCACCCACCTCCGAAGGCTTATAGCTGGCCAGCTCATAATCCATGCCAGCAAGTTCCAAAAAGTATTTGGACATGGCATGATGCTCATCCTCGGCACTGGCTGCCTTCGAGTAGCGACGCAAGAAGTGTATGGGCAACGGACGCGATAGATTGTTATCGATAGCCTTCAATATTTGCATCTCCATTTGCCTAATCTCTTGGCCCGTATACGTATCATCCGTAATGAACACAAAATCACCAATGGCTGGCGGGAACAGCTCCTCATATTTGGTGGCTATAAACAAAGCCGTAACGCCGACCAGCTGCAAATACTTGCGCCTGGTATCTTTGACCACCTGTAGATAGCGATCGATGATTGCGACAGCCAAGTGGAAAGTTTCTGCTGCTAGATGGAATTGCAAATGGACCTCGTTAATCCAGTCGATGAGCACAGCGCGCATTTTGTATGAAACTTCCAATTGATTGGCCAGATGATCCGTATAGATGGGTTGTTGCTCCTCCAGCTCATACAGATAATCGTATATATCGTTTACATATTCCGATACTAAAACCAAATTCTCGCCATCATCTGCATCAATGTCCTCCACTTCCAATCTTTTGGTGGACAGCGACATAAGGGTATTTGCTTGACTTGTGGTAGCTGGGACGGTTCGAAGCTTGGAGGGCAGCTTCGACACGGACACAATCTCCTTCTTTGGCTGCACAACAACAGCAGCAGTAGCAGTTGCATCCTTCTTCACTGCCAGCGCATTAGCCGCAGTGCGTGGTTGAGCTCTGGGTACCAGTGGCTCCTTCTTAGCAACTGCTGCAGCTGCTGCAGTTGAAGCTGCAGCAGTCGGTTTGGCTAGGGCAGCGCGCAGCTTGGTTAGAGATTTGCGCGACAAATTGCTGTCCTCGCGTCGCAGCGTATTTACCTTCTCATCGGAAATGGACTTTTGCTTGGCAACTGTGCGTTGGGTGGAAGGTATACGTGTTCGGATTGGGGCCAACATTTTTGTGATAATTGGATACTTACGCTTGTTGTTCGGGTCGGCGGCCACTTTTGCAGTGGCTGTTGTCGTTGCAGCCGGGCGGCTTGATATTTGACGTCCAATCTGACCCAAATTTGTGCGCATCGAGTTGGAGCGCAATAGTGGACCGCCGGCTGGCTTTGTTGCAACACCTGCATTGGCATTGGCATTGGCATTGACATTAGCATTAGCATTGCTTAAGCCCAACGGCTGCTTCTTCCAGTGGGTATCCACACGCGCCTTGGTCAACTTTACATCTTTCAACCTGAAGAATTTTATTTAAAATAAAAATTTTCCATTTTTATTAATGCTCCCACTCACTCTTTTTGTGCCGCTTCCTTGGATACAATTCCACGATTTAGTCCACGATTTTGCAGATCGCCGAATGCGGCGCGCTTTGTGTTTGCCTCGTTTGAAGGCACTGTCAATTTCTTCACTTGGACTTGATTGTATTTCTCCGTTGCATTCTGCAAGCATAGATCATTTCGCAAGGGGTCAATGCATGGGCGGCCATTTTGTGCGCAACGTGCGAGATGTTAAAAGTTTGATGTAAAATTAGCGGTACTAGTACTGCTACATTACCGACAGTAAGTACCGAAAAAAGCGCCAAACGCAAATACCGCTGCAGCAGCAGCAACAACAATGCTAGACAAAACGGCATTTTTACCCCTCTCTTTTGTGCTCGGCCGACGCTGCAATGGCGGCGGCGTCGCTGCCTAACGCAATGCGTTCTGCTGCCTGCTAAACTCCCAAACGAAATATGCATTAAATTATATTCTTACCTCGTCCATAATCATTTTAGGCGCTGTGCTCATCATATTGTTGCTATTGTTGAATACTCTTAACTTTTTAGACTGAAATGCTTTGATTTAGGGTTTTGTACTTGAGCGCGTTGCTTTCGTTTTTTCTTTTTTGAACGCTAAAATATAATGTTAAAATTTTTGGTTTTATTTGTTTTGTAGCTTGTTTTCGATTGCACAATTTTAATTTAACATGTATGTTTATATTTCAACGATTGCTACTTTAATTCGAAAATATAATTTATTTTTTTTTGGAGTCTTTCGAGCTCTGCGCAAGATGCGAACGCAAGCCGCTGCCGTTTGGATTTGAAATGCACGCCAGATAATGAAAATAATGTGACCAACTAGTGTTAGGCACAAAACGTGCAAATCAAAGTGTGACCAACAGTGGGCAAAATGTAAATGCAACGCTGTACCAACAAGCTTTTGTGAGCTGCCAACAAGTGCTGCCCATAGACGAATATTTGAAATAGCCGTTTGTTTGAATGCATTGAGTTTCTTATGTTCATTTTAATAGACTCTTATGGTGTTTATTTTTTTGTTCGTCAGTAGTTGATTTATTGTTGTTATTTTTTTTCTGGCTGTTTGTGAGTGATTGCATCAATTAAGTGCTGATCACTTCAATTGGCTGGCATCTTGCAAAGGTTCTTTTGCCTTACAATCTAGCGCTTGTTGCATTTGCATTGCTGATTTAAGATTTCCTTCAACAAGCACAGCGGAAATGCAACATAATTCTTACTTTGTTCTTTTTTTTAACTCGACTGTGATGATCAGTGTCAAGTTTTCGTCTGGCCACAAAAACGAGTAAAAAACAATTGGCGTTCTCTGCACTTGCTACGATTCTTTTTTGCTGCTAATTTTTCGGCTGCTTTGCTTAACGGTGCCATTCCATTGTTCCTTTCCGCTCGTTCGCTCCACTCATTAGCATATAGCTTCGTCTTCAAAACTTCAGAGCGCGCGAGCTCGAGCGAGAGAGAGAGAGCGCATATCAATTTTTGTGCCGTTCGCTGCATGAATAAAGTTTTCCGCACTCGTGAATTTTCATCATTCGCGAATGTTTCGCTGCCGTGAAAACATCTTGTTTGCTGGCAGACGATCGCGCGCTTCGCTGTGGTTCGTCTCTAACTGAACTAAAATAACAAAAAAAGAAAGACGTTTTCAAAAATCAATCGGGCTGACCTCCAGCTGAGTTAACTAAAGCCGTGCTTTGCTTTGATTTATCGTAAAAGTTTGTTAAAAGTGTAATAAAAAGCATAAATTGTGCTCGCTAACGTTCTGCTTGAGAGCAGCTGTTGTTTTTTTCGTGTGTGCTTAAATAATAAAAAAAGCGAACAAATAGCTTAAAAAATCATAAAAATAAAGCCAACATTTATTTAAATAAAGAAATTTTTAATTGCATATGATTTTAAGTGCGATTTGTTGCTGTTATCGTTATCGGCTGCGCAAAGCAAACAGGAAGTGCAAGGCGCTACAGTTCTGAAGTGTGGCCACACTTAAAGTTTACTAAAAACTCAAACAACTTGTGTTATCATATTTACAGAGCACTCAGGAAATGCCAGGCGGCTGAAGTCTGTTAAGTGTGACCAAATTGAGAATCTAGTTAATAACCCAAAGGACTTAGCAGTTCGTAGGGTGCCCACATTCAAATTTACTTAAAATCACACGTGACTAACGTTATCCTTGCACAGCACTCAGGCAAATCGCTTGAAGTCTGTTAATACATCCCAATTATATCAATATATATATATATATATATAAATCAAATATATTATAATATCGCAAATTACTTTAGCTACGATCTTTCGTTCCTCTATTATCCTTAACATATTTGCGATTCAATTTGCAATTGAAATGCACCTTAATTCCTAAGTGTGACCAAATTTAAATTCTACAGCATATGCCAAATTACTGGCTACTTTTGTTCTTAACATATTTCAGGAATTAGGATGCGCAATTAAGTATGACCATATTGAAATTCTCTTGAATAACCCAAATAGCCTGATATAGTTATCATATTTGCACAGCAATCAGCTGGCGCACGATAAGTGCGGCCAATTGAAATTCTATTTAATCTGGTGTAATCGAAAGCCACAAACGACTTAAGCAACAAACTTGCATTTGACTGCTCAATTTACGAAAGTAGACTAAAAACCAAAGTAAAGCAAACAACAGCAACAACAACAGCAGCAGCAACATTAGCAATTAATTAGTGCATAAAAATGTTAAATTAACTACCGCAAAAGCCTGGCTGCGTGCATTCACTTTTCTCTCTGGCCTGCTGCTTCTGCAGCTGCTGCAATCGACGAAATTTAGGCGAACAACAAAAAATTATTATTATTATTATTTATGCTATCTATTTTTACCTTTGCAGTGCAGAAAATGTAACACAAAAACAAACAAAAAATGATGACGCAAATACGCAGTTTAAATTAGCTTGCGCAGCACATTAAAAAAAAAAAACAAAAAAAAAAAAAACAGAAACAAAACAAAAATAATACTACATAAATTTTGCAACAAATGCAATTTGTGAACAACAAATGTAAATAGCATATTACAAGCTGCTTAATTGTTGTCGACTTCAATAAACGCGTCGTTATGTCTACAATTGCGGCTAATCAGCCAATTAATCGTTATCGTCATCGTTTGTGCCTAATTGTCTTGGCAGCGGCTTTGTGGCTGGACACTTGGGCTGCACTGGTCGACGCCAACGCCGTTCACATTGAGCTGCGGCGCAGGCGCAGCGTTCGCTTCAATGGCATTGAGGTAATTGCCGCGATTCGCATTGCAAATCTTTGATTGATTCATGTCATTTGTCATTTGTCATTCGTCCTCATATCGTATCATATTTAACCCATAAATGAATCAGGTGATTCTTGTCTGTGTCACACAAAGTGCTGACCATGCAAAGCTGCAAGCCGAAGCAAAACGCGTGATTCATTAAGAATTGCCAGCATATGCATTCTACAGGGAGGGGCGCCCATGGGGAGGGGCGCGGCTATGTAAAAATTTGGAACAAGTGGAGTTGAAATGCGAAGCGTTTAATGACCTCTGCACACAGTTGAAAATGCTTTAACAGGCTTTTAGGGGCAGCATGTAACAGCCTGAAGGATAGGGTTCTGTAAATTTGATGAATAATGAATTTTTATATTTTTTTAGCAATATTTTTCCAACTTCTCTTAAAAATAGAAATTTGGTGACTTCGTTTTTTAGGCCTAACTCGAAGACTTTATGAGCTAGACCTATAAAATTTGGTATGTGGGCTCTCTTAAGACTTAAACAGTTTTAAAATAATTACTTTTTTAACATAGCTCAAACTATTACTATAATACATATCGGCAACGGCGGAGCTCTTGAATTCTATATATAATAGCAAACTTTAAAATTTACCAATAGTAACGCCGCGTTTTGTGCAGGGTATTTATCGGTCAAACACACTTTGTTGCCAGTTAAAGCTAGGTTAACTCAAGCAACAGCTTCACACCTTTTACAGGGTATCTACCAGTCGATCACTTCGACTTGTCATCAATGAGGCCCCAACATCTCGTCTTATCATACAGGGTATCTATCAGTAAAGCTAGGCCAATGCGAACACCAACTTCGCATGTCTTACAGGGTATTTCTCAGTCTCACACTCTATTTCATTTCATTTGCTGATAACTTGAGTTTAAAACTTTCGTCGAACAAGTCAAATTCCACGATTTAATGAACGCTTTCAGCGAGAAGATTGCCAGCTAGCGACTGAAAATATCATCTCGGGTTGCCCAAAAGGCGTCCAACCGTCTCTAACAAGTGCAATGAATTTTGCAGCTGACAATTTGACTGTGACGAGGGTTCTTTGAAATATTGATATATTAAGTGTTATACACTATTTGTTATAGGTTATCTGTCATACAGTGAGTTATGTGCTGTGTGTTAGTTGGCCCAAGCAATTGTTATAGATTATGGGTTATACCAAAAGTGTTAAATTGTATATTAAGTGTTATATGTTATACAGTGCTGATAGTATTTGATATATACTCTATATGTATAGTGTTAAATGTTATGCAGCGAATAATATGTCAAATGTTTAACCATCTTTCTTATACATGTTCTCTGTTACTCATTATGTGTTATACGATAAGTGTTATATTTGAAGTGTTAAGTAGTGTTATACAGTAAGTTGTCTGCTATATGTTATGCGAACTGTTATATGTTATACGATAAGTGTTATACGTTATAGCTAGTATATGTTATATGCTCTCTAAGGGATGTTCTACTCGTATCTCTCAACTGTTATACCATATCTCAAGTTCACATACCAAACACCACCCTCGTACAGTTTGTGTCGGAATGCATCGCACGACTTGTGCGAAACATCCAAAACGAAAAAAAAAACGCCAACGTCAGCAGCAGAATAAGTGTGGCGCGACTTTTGTCAGCTGCTGAATTGGTTAGCTGAGCGCGTGGCGAGAGCTTTTCTTAGCCAAGTTATTGACCCAACTGAAAATTAGTTGCGAATACACACGGGTCGCGTCGCAGTCGAGTTGAGCCGCAGTTGAAGAACCCTCGAGCTGACTGAACATGCTCTGCTCCCACCTTGCCTTACCTTGATTTTCTGTGACTTAATTTCAGCTCTTTGTCGTAGTTTTTCTTTGTTGTTTATTTTACTATTTTTCCTCTCTTTACTTGTATTTTTTTGCTATCCACGGGTCACGCAAAATTTCATCACATAATCAGCCGGCGGCCGATTACAGCGCTCAGCGTTGGGCTGCCAGCGAGTGCGAATCCGAATGGCAATTCGAGCTGGAGCTGGAGTTGGAGTTGGAGTACTCGACTCGACTCTAAACGTTGTTGCAGGCAATTTCCACTTCCATTTCCACGCTTTATTTTGTTGTTCTTTTTGGTTTTTTTTTGTTTTGCTTTTCCGGCATGGATAGTCGGGCCTTTTATGCTGTTGCCCTTGCCGTCAATTAGTGTCGTTTTATTGAACATTGTTTGAATGCGCTCAAACACAAAGCTAATGAGTGGATGAGTGGTTGAGTGAATGCCTGAATGACAGCTCTGCTGCATGGCTATCGAATGTCTTACAAATAGTTATCGAATAGCTGAATCTATAGAAAATCGATAATAATCGATTTCTTAAACAAAGACTGTAGAAGTTTGAACTAAAAAGTTAGGGAAATATGGGTTCTTAGGAAATAAAGAGATAGTCGTACGACCATTTAGAAGATAAGTAAAGTACGACTAAGATTAACTTTAAAATTAATCATAATAATATCGAATACTTATAATGTTATCGATAACCTATCAAAAATATTACTATAATTAATGCATATAAATATCTTAGATAATGCAACTATGTTAAGTTACAATGTATTCAATTGTTATCGATATCGATAACTAGTCATTAAATAGATAAGTTAGCTAAGCAAGTATAAAGTCGACATCTGATCGATAAGTTATCACTAGCTGTGTGTTGACAACGAACAACCTATCTTATTGTTATCGATAACTTATATAAATATTGTAATCGGATAGCAATGATAAATATTAGTTAGCAAACATTGACCCAAGTGAGGCTCAAACATAATTGATTAATCGAAATGTTATCGATAATCGATAAGTACTAAATTTTAGGTATACGTGTATATATTTGGGCGTTGCTTCATTTGATTACCTCGTTTTATTATAAATCTTCAAACCTCTCAATTACTGCTCAATCAAATACTCCCACAGCAACGCCCGCTTTCAACAATATTGTTATTGTTTAGCAGGGGCAAACAGCCCACAGCAATTTGTGCAACACCTTTGCTGCGTCGCAATGGGCGGTCTGCGGCTGAGGTGGGGGCACGACACGACCAACAACCATTGGAGCTCAGCGAAGCGCTCTTCACGCATTGCTGCCCATCGACGCGCTTTTCCAAAATGTAACAACAAATGAAATTAAATAATAGCACAAAAACGGGGCACACGCACAGCATCTAAATGAAGATAAGTACGCATATACGAATGACGTAGTTATCGATAGGCGATAACGATGAGCATTTGAAGTATGTGCACTATTTTGCAGTTAGAGATTAAAGAGTACTAACACTGTAAGAAAATTTACAAAAGAAGATAAGTAGCAAGTCAATTTGAAAACCTCGCCGCTATCGATAACCGATAACATTGAGAGTTCAAGGCTCATTTGTCCATTTTGTTGCAAGGAGAGTTTGATGTACATGTAAATTAAATATTATTTATAAATGAAGATAAGTGAGAGTTATCGATAACTACGATAACGATGAGCGAGTAAAGCCGCTGCCCAATTTTTGGTTTTTTTTTATTTAAAGATATTTGGAAGATAATAAAGAACAAACTAGAAATATGTAGCTTAGCGATATACGAAAAAATTTCAGTTATCGATAACAATGATAACAATGAGCGAGTAAAGTATCTGCGAAATTTTCCGATTTTTTGCTATTTGAGAGATTTAGAAGAAATGGATTTACTGAATGAGTGAGAGCTGAGTGACAGGAAAGAATTTCAGTTATCGATAAGAATGATAACGATAATTTTTTGCTCTTCGGAAAAAAAAGAAGATCTTAATGCAAGTAAGAAGCTGAGCGCTTTACGAAAGCATCGCAGTTATCGAAAAGCGATAACAAAGACTATTTAAAGCAGCTACCTAATTTTCCCCCATTCAAGTCTCAGTTCGGGAGCAGTTGAAGAAAATGTAAATGAAAATGAAAAACGTAATGGGTTTTTTCCTAAACTAATTTTCTATTGTTGCGTGCAGTGAAAGTGTTTTTTATTTTTGTGTTTTTTTTTGGTATTTGGTTTCTGGCTGTTATTAGACAACCCTTTTGGGCCAATGGCTCAGCTCTTTTTACGCTTTGCTGCGCTGTGTTACACATTTGCGAACATTTCTTAAAGCCGAACGCCCATTTACTCTTACTCTTTGCAGCTGGACGAGAACGCGCTGCTCGAGCAACTGGCGGGCCATGAACGAGCTCTGCTCTTTGGCACGACAGCAGGTAAGTTCTATTTCTATGGGGCGGGCGGGCAGTCGATTGGAAAGATTAGCCACAGCTGACATCAGACCAGTTAACCTAGTTCAAGTGGGTATATGGCGCAGGTTAAGAAGGAGGCCAAAATACCTAAGTTTAAAGTCGTGGAAAGTTTTTACTTCTTTTTGGCTGGGTCTAAGATCAATGCCAAATGCTGACGGGCACATGAGCGCACTAAACGAACATTTAAATATTACACTAGACAACAAGACGTTGTTTCTGGGCAGCTAAATGTGCTAGGTCAATGTTTAGAAAGTTTTAAAATTAGCTGAAAGAGTTTCAAAATATTATTTTTTCCTAAAGTATATTTAATATAGAAATCATATGATTATATAAAAGCTTTTCAATACTATATATGTTTAACGGTTAGTGATAAAGCATATGTAATAGTTTGCTAGTCAAACTATGACTATATATGTCTGTCTATCTATCTATATATATATATATATGTATACCTACACAGCTTAAAGCTGTAGTTGGCGAGCCTCTATCAGAAAGTAAGACTTAATAAATCAAATATGGTAGGCAAATAAATAAAAACTAAAACTTAATCCAAATTCTTAGTCGATATGACTTAGACAAGGCTAATGAAGCACCTAAAACAAGATATCTATATTTTCAATCTATATTTTAGATTGACATATGTCTCATAAAATTATTCTTTATTTTAGGTATATGTATGCTAACAATAATTATACATAAGATATAGACATTTATATTTTGATTACAAAAAAGAAATAAACAAAGTCAATCCTTGTAGCACAGTGTAATTGCCCGGAAGCCGCCAAGAGGCTGCACCGTGCAACGTAAACGTAACTTGTGGGGGCGTGGAAATATGCGCAGTTCTTATTGCTTGTGGGGAAGTGCTCATCATTATTTATGATTATTGATTCATGGAATGCACATTTTGCCATTTCTTATTGCATTTTACCTGTTTGCTTACTTTACGCTCAGCACCTGAATTCAAATTGGTGCAGCTGGAACGGCGCAACGTGCACCAGGAGCGGCGGCCGAAGCAGCAGCAGCAGCGGCAGCAGCATTCGCGTGGGCGTCGCAGTGCGGCAGAAGGTTAGTTTAAATGCATGCCACACACACACAGACACACATGCACACACACATAGACACGCACACACACACATAGACATCCACACTCTCTGCTCGTGCTGCTCCAGTTGCGCCTGCAGGGTGCGCTCATTATACGAATAGTTTAATTAATTCAAATGCATTTGCCAGCCGGCACAGTGGAAGCTGAACTGAAGCTGCGTCAAACGCCGCAATTGTTTGACGATAATTTCATCTTTATACGACGCAACGCTAACAGCACCCAATTTGTGGAGCATTCGCCGCAGCTGCTGCAGCGCCTCGAGCGCTGCTTCTATCGCAGTCCATGGGCGGCCCTCGATCTGTGCGACGAGCAGAGTGTGGTAAGTAGAAGAACGTGCCACAGACAGCTTGTGCTTGTGCTGTTTATCTTGTCTGCCCCTCATTACCTCTGGCTGGCTGGCCTTGTTTGCTTAAGCTGAGCTTATATCATAACATAAAAATATAGTGTAATAGCATTTTGTTACATAGTTTCACTCGATTCCACTGTTCCATACCATAGTTGAGCTCTTTAACATAATCCTAACGCATTAAAATGTCAGTAACTACTTTTGTGTCGAGTTCCATTTGTTCCACTGTTCCCAGTTCCCCTTTATTTCGCTGTTCCACATATATTCTCATCTAAATAATTGTGTTTCATATTCCATTTTTCAATCGTATATGTGAATATATATTTCAATATTATTTAATCACAGTGTTCCACCAAATTCCACTGTTCCATGTTTTATTTCAACATTCACATGTTCCATTCGTATTATTTCATATGTCATTTTCAATTATTCCACGTATTCCATAGCTCGAACAGCATTTTACAAAGTGAAACGATGGCAATGGCACATATGAAACACAAAATTGTATTGTAAATGCAATGTGAAACATTGTCAACGTAGCTTAAGAGAATAAAAAATGAACATGAATATATTAAAGCGTACAGGAACAATGGAACTGGAACCCTCAAATTGTATTTGCCATGCTTAATTATTTCAAAATTCGTCATTCCCAATGCCAACTCCATTATTCCCATATCGAATTTACAGCTCTTCTGCCGTTCCATTTCCATTGTTTCTGCCAGCTGCTACCAGGGTTATCTAACCTTTAATAACTTCCAATTGTCAACAACTCTTGCAGCGTGGCGTTTTTCAACAGAATGCCAGCAACTTTGTCATCCAGCCGCTGCCGGCGCGATTTGGAGCGTCAGCCCATGTGCTCTACCAGGCGCGCTTAGATAAGAGCGACAACAGCAAAAACAACAGCAGCAGCAACTTCAGCAGTCAGACAATACCGTTAGACAGTCAGCTGCAGTTCGAGCCCGATGCAGATGAATTCAACGAACCGCGACAGCAACAGCCCACACAACAGCAGCAACGGCAACAGCTACGACGCAAACTGCAATCACAGCTGCGACTGCGCTATCAGCCGCGTCATCATCATCATCATCATCATCATGAGCAAGTCCGTCAGTCTCATCATCATCGTTATGGCCCTGGCATTGCCGACGACGCCAGCACGCCTCGTCTTCGCCGGCATATCGATGAGCCGTTCCGCCGCCCTTATGTGCCCGATGAGCTCTACATTGAGACGGCGATATTTGTGGACAGCGACCTGTACAGGCACATGGGCAAGAACTATCCCACAAATACTGAGAACGAGTTGATGCGCTTCGTGCTAGCCATGATCAATGGCGTCCAGCTACTCTATCATCATGACACTCTGGGCAGACGCATCAATTTCGTGCTCAAGCGCTTGGAGATCCTGCCCAAGGATACGCCGGGCCTGTTTCGCTCCACCGATATTGACAACTATCTGAGCAACTTCTGCCTGTGGCAGAAGAATCTGAATCCGCCTCTGGACTCGGATATCCTGCACTACGATCACGCAGTCATTCTCACCGGCTTGGATCTTCATGTCACGGACAAGAATGGCAAGATCACTAGCCAAGTTGTGGGCCTGGCACCCGTGGCAGGCATGTGCACGCCCACCTCCTCCTGCACCATCAACGAGGGCAAGCACTTTGAGAGCGTCTTTGTGGTCGCACATGAAATCGGACACAAGTGAGTATCTATAACTTAAGTGATATATATATAGCCAGATTCGATTTCATTTTCCATATTTCCTCTTGGAGCTGCCTCTAGTTCTGCTTACTGTTCCATTTCACATGTTCCATTGCCATATTTGTTACTATTTCCAACTTTACATTTTTTACTTTTGATATCTATACGCACTTTCTTATTGATTTTTCTTGTGTTCCATTTCAACCATTCCATTTCATATTCTCTGTTCCATTTGCATATTTTCTTGCTTTTCTTTATCAATATTACCCTTTAAGTTTTATAATTATAAATTTCTTTGTTTTTTGTTTAATGTTTCATTCTTACGTTCCATTTCTAGTATTCCATTTAGAATGTTCCGTTTCAATATGTTTTTAATTCTTAAATTTTACGCTCTCAATATGTTTCCTGTGTTTTTGCCACTCCTAACTTCTGTGTTCCATTTTAAATGTTCCATTATTGTGTTTCATTCCATATTGTTTCTTCAGTTTTAATGTTTATAAAGTTTCTTCATCAATATTCCGCTCTTTATTTAAATTTTTCCTACTTTTCGTTCCATTTCCAATATTCCCTTTGTTAGACGCCCTAATTCGAAAAGCTTTTAAACATTTCATTACAGCTTGGGCATGCGTCACGATTCCAAAGAGAACAACTGTGATCCCAGTCTGCATATTATGTCGCCCACTTTGGGCAGCGGCAAGATAACCTGGTCTAAGTGCTCCCGCGGGTATCTGGAGGATTTTCTATCGTAAGTTAAGGCTTGAATTCTCGAATCTCGCTTACTATTTTCCTCCCTGCAGTCTGAAGCAGGCGGAATGTCTGTTCGATAGAGGACACTTCATTGGGAAATGGGATCACTCGGCCAAGGGCAAGTTGCCCGGCGAACGCTTCGATGCCAATCAACAGTGCATGCTTAAGTTCGGACGCAATTCGGTGCATGCCGGCAGTCAGAGCAAGTCGGAGATTTGCCGTGACTTGCACTGCCAGCGGGAAAGACTAACTTGGACTTCACATCCGGCACTGGAAGGCACCGAGTGTGGACCGAGCATGGTAGCTAGAAAAATGTGGCTTTAGCTCACTTGAATCAGTCTTCATCCTCACAATCTACTTACAGTGGTGTCGCGGTGGTTCTTGTGAGCCGCGACCTAACAAATATCCCATCGGCTCAATGAAGCAGCTCAGTGGAGGCGGCTCGCTAAAGTCCAGCTATGAGAAGCACAGCGCTATCTATGCCGAGTCTTCGAGCCGAATGGAGCAATTGCAGCAGCCGTATAAAGCCAGTGGCAATGAGCTGCCGGGCGTCCCAAGCACCTGGAGTGGTTGGGGCGAGGCCAGCGCCTGCGACTCCAGCTGCCTCTATGGACCATCGAATCGCTTGCGTGAGGGCAGCACCGGTCTGCGCATCTACAATCGCAGCTGTCTGAGCTATCCCAAACGCTGTGAGGGCTGGGATCGCAAGTTCGAGGCATGCATTGCCAAACAGTGCTATGTTGTGCCCGTTCAGACGATTGGCGACTTTGCCACGAATGTGTGCAACAAGGCGCGCAAGTCCGACAACGAGCTGACGGGCGAGGGGCTGCAGCTGGTTGGCTCCATTGGTGAGTGTAGCCTGAGAACCTGTCTATATCTATATCTATGTGTGACCTGGTTTGCTTGCAGAGGACTCCTGTAAGATTTTCTGCCGCACCAAGAGCAATGGCACCAAGTCGCGTCGCTGGACCTTTCCGGATGGCACGACCTGTCGCGCTCAGGATCATGGCCCGGAGCATATTGCCTATTGCATTGCCGGACGCTGTGAGAAGTTCTCGTGCAGCAATGCCACGGATAATTTCTTCAAAATGGATAACACATTCTGTGCGTATCGTGCGCCACGCCCACAGCGCGATTCCACGGAGCTGGAGAGCAAGCAGCAGCCGAGCTATACGAATAACATAAGCTACAAGCGCAATGCCGAACGATTGGATCCTTACAGGAATCGCTATGAAAATGGTAAGCAGAAGAAGTGAATTCCTTTAGCTCTCTTCTCCAACTCCTTTTCTTTATCCACGTCAGAGGTGGCTGTGCGCAGTTTCCACGGGCAGGACAATCATTTAATGCCACAGCCGAAGCCGTACAAGCACAAGGTCTCTTCCTCTTCCTCTTCGCCTTCGTCCTACTCGAATGACTACAAATACAATTATCATGTTCAGGATCCATTTGGCAAAGCGGCGCCGCCGCCCGCCTCTGCCTCGCTCGTCGTCGAACCGGAATTGTCGTCGGAGTGGCAGGTCGAGTCCGGCTGTCACTCCAATTGCATGACGGAGTCAATGGGCGTACAGGCGGTTAGGTCACGGCAAACGGGCCGGCGCAATATACAGTTATGCACGCACAAGGTGAAGCCATGCGAACGGCTGCAAACGCCAGCCGAATATGCGGAACAAACGTGCGCCAGATATAAGATGAAGGTGCGCGGCCTATCCGGTCATGGCTCCCAGATCTCGGCCAGCATCACAGAGCCGGATCGCAGTTGCCGTGTCGGCTGCCAGGATGAGCACATCAAGTATCGCTATTATTTGGTCAACGGCATCCACGGGCATTTTCCCATCGGCACGCGCTGCTCTCAGATGGGCAGACGCTATTGCGTGGATGGCAAGTGCCTGGAGTTCGGCGCGGATAAACTGCTGCTGCAGCAGTCACACATCAGCTTGGCGCTCTTCCGGAACAAACGCGAGGCGATAAAGCGAAAAAAGCGCAGCTTCCTCTACTACGATCCGGTCAACATTACGGAAACAATCACCCAGGACTTTCTCAACAGCATTGTCAACAGTATTATAGATTTTGAAAGGCAACATCTGGGTAGGTAGTCGGCGGATAATACCGCATCTATTGCATATAACATCAATTATATAAATATGTCTTTGTGTTTGTCTATACATCCATTTGTCTACCTATTCTTATCCACTAGTCCATCTTATAATATATTTATCCACATAACTATTTATCCATCTTATCCATATATTCAATCATATATAGATCCAACTACACCGACTTATTGCTTTATCCATTTATCTATATGTATGTCTATCTATTCACCTTATATTTATTCACTTATCCATATTATTTTTATCCATTTATTTATCCTTCTACCATATATGTATTTATTACTTTATTAATTTATCCGCTAATTCATTTCTCTATGCAATCATTTGACTATTTATTCATACATTCATTTATATATTTTTCTCTAATTAAAATGCATATCCAATGCATATTTCATCTATCCATCTTTCATTTATCCATTTATGTATTAATTCGTTTATCCATTTATGCATCAATCCGTGTATCCATCAATGCAATTTTCAATATATAATCATTATCTATCTAGTTATATATACATATGCATCTATTCTTTCACAATATGTATCCTGTTATCCGTCTATATATATCTATACTATCATATATCTTGCTCTTTTACAGACGTTTCCGCCGACAACATCGAATTATCCAATCCTATACACGTCTCTCAGGACGAATTAAGCAACAATTAGTTATAAGTAATTACTTTTCATATATCTCTCCCCTGCTCAGTCTATATATATATTTATATATGTACTTGTACTTTGTGTTGTTCTGCTCAGACTGCCCCACCCGCCTAAGGCGTGCTCAATACAAATCCCTAGAATTATAAGTTTTAGATGTAAAACCAAAAACTGCAAATTGTACGAATATTTGTTGAAATAAACGTGCGTGAATGTGACTGAAATAAGCGCGAATTGCTTAATGAATATATTCATATATAAATATAAATATATGTATATGCTATAAACATATGTATTTATACAGAAAGTTGTCTGTGTTCCAATTGAAACATATTAATTTATGATATTATTTATGGTATACAAAAATGTATACAAAAAGCTTCGTTTACTAAGCAAATGAATTCGAAATCTCAGCTGACCTTTCACATTCTTAGAATAATTATTCAGGTTACCCCAAAAAAAAAAACCACCCAATTATATATTTTTTGTTGTTCGATATCGCCTTTAAATAAAAATGACTTTTCAAATTGTGTGTGGCACACTTTTGGGCTGGCCGATAAAACGCTGCACAAGGCGCACAAAAGTAGACACGCATTACAAGTACAAGCACACACACACACACACTGTAGGCCACGCCCACACACATAGACTGAGCGCCTAGCACTCGTCTGCTCATCCATTGTGTTACCAATTTTGGCGTTTGCATGCAAACACCCGCAGCCATTACCAATATTCAATACCAAAAAGGGATAACAACAACAACTACACACACACTCACACACACACTCGAGTGTTTGTCTATGTGTGCGTGCGCCAGAAATTAGATAAAAACACCTACAAAGCGCTGAATATGCCGCAGTCGACAACTAAAGCGCGCTCCGTGCAAACCGAAACCAAAAAATAGAAAAAAACTGAACGGAAAATTGAGAACAAATTTCAAGTGCTTTGACTTAGTGTACGTTGTGTGTGTGCACGTGCGTGCGTGTGTGTGAGTGTGTATCTCGTTCTAAGTGCATTGTGGCCTTTACAGTTTAAACTTGACCAGCGTTTGGCTTGTGGCAAGTTCAATGCACCAGCTGCAAGCAAATCGTTTGCATATTTAAAGTCCATCAATTGTGTGTTTCCAAATTGAATATCGTAAAGAGAAATTTAAGTGCTACTAACGGTTAATTAGTTCTTCTAATTACTGGCCATTTGGCATTGACATTTTGATGGGCTCTCAGTTCGCCGCCCCTAGGGACTCATTCAATTGGGTCACATGCCCAGAAAATTGACTTTGTCTTCAAGGCTTTTACATTTGGTTCCCTAATTTCCTCATAAACACGCAGTTCTGAAGACAGTGAAAAGAGAAAACTGTGTCAATTGCTTTTTTATTTCCAATTGCTTTTTCAACATTTTTTTTTGCCCACGCAATGTCCACTCGAACACTTGGCGCTCAATTAGTCATTCAGAAATTATTGAATTCATAGCATTTGGCAACCGGCTGCAGTTGTTGGTTGAACCGAAAGTTCACATCGCATTTGCTGACACGTGCTGGGCACACACAACTCGCGCTCCTGCCGCGTACACAGGACCTTGAAGTCCTGCTCTACTTTTGATACTTTTTTTTTTTTTCATTCGAAATCGAATTATCGACCTGTATCTAATTGGTTTGTTTTCGTTGTCGTCGCCAGCAGTTGCGCCAATTGAATGTACGCTAGTTGCTTCATTAGGCGCAGCTGCCCTTAAAAGTATGCAATGGTTTTTTGTGCCTTTTCCAGCTGCTGTCGTTGCCCCCTACAATTGCTGTACAATTTAATAAACATTTAGAACTTGCTTTAGAGTTAGTAAAGTGTTGACTGCTTAAACAGAAACGTACCCTGTGTTTGGTAATTGTGTTAATTGCGGTTAGAGTCTAGAATTGTTAGAGTTTGCTTAGAAATGTTGTGGAACACTAAAGATAAAGCTCAAAGTTTTTTAAACCCCTTTTGCAATTTGGTTTTTTTTATATTTAAAGATTTTTATTTTAATTTACAAATTCTACACTTAATAATAAAAAAGAAAAAAAAATGTTTATTTTAATTAAAAACGACATGTTTCTTTAAGTTTGTCTGTTTTTTATAGTATATATTGTAAATTTCTAGTATATTTCTAGAATATTTCTGTCAACCTCACCTTGAGTAACTTGGCTTGAGTTGAATTCGATTCAGTTTCTTTCCAGTCTAATGCATATCAATTTTTTTTTCATTATATATAAAAAAAAATAATATTTATCTTGCTCAGCTATGTATCTATTTTCTGCTCTTTCACATATTTTTTGCTCATTCTTTTATCTGTCGATATGTTTCTAAAAGTCTTCGAAATAAAAAATTAATATATAATAATAAATATTAATATAAATTAATATATAAAATTAATATAGAATAATTTTGAAAGATTCAAAATGTCCAAATACGTAAGAAACGGAAATAATTCTTGAAGCAGGCAGCATAGTTTTGTCGTATATTTAGAGAAACTTTTTAATATATTTTCTATACATTAAATTCTGTTGATATTATCCAAATTAATTAGATTTTCGAATGGGCACAAAAATAAATAATTAAAAAAGTGTTTTTGTAGCTGAAACCCCAGATCTCATAGCTCCCACATATCCACCTACATGCACAGGTTTAGCCAGCTAGTTGCCTTAAAACTAGGCTGACCATGTTTACATATGGTATCCGCCTCTGTACAAGTGCTTAGTCTATTCATATTTAATGCAGAGGCACGCGATTCGCGCACTGCAATTGGCCAAATGAACAACAACAGTCAGCTGCAAGCTGAGCTGAGCATTGGCAATTGTTGAGTGACCCAAACACACAGAATGCGTATTGACCAGACGTCGTTGAACTTGCAGAGCCAACGGACGAACTAACGGACAAACAAACAAAATAATAAAATAAAATAAAATTGTGAAAAGCTTGTGAAAAATTTGTGAGTAAAATAGCAAAAGGAAATAGAAAATAGGAAAAAGGAAACATGTGTCGTTTGAATCGCGACTGGAGCAATGTGCAGAGTCGTGGACTTTAAGCATTTGGTGTTAAGAAATTTGTGGCACAAAACGTTAACGGTAACTGTTTGAAGGCATGCCACCAAAGCGTAGACGCAGATTTCATGGACTCTATTACCATTCATCGCCGCCGAAGGGTGAGTTCATTATGAAGTTATGAATAGCACATGGATATTGAGTGCCATTCGTATTCATTAGTTGTGCACACCTAATTGAGCCAATTAGAATTGATGTGTGTGGCAACCAATTAAGTAACACATAAGGGAATTCCGCAGAGAGAGGGCGAGGGAGAGAGAGTGCGCACGGTATGCGTGACAAAGCGCAGACATGGCCAAAATTTGCATATTGCGTGAGTCCCCAATGTCAGCTCAACAAGTAAAGCCACCTAGCAGCAGGAGTCGATGGAGTCGTTGGAGCAGCAACTGGCGACGACATTAAGTGGCAATCGCTAATGCGCCATTTCCGTGCCAATTGTTGCCCTTTTTCATTTCTGTGCTTTATTGCCACACAGAACTTTGTGGCAAGCGATACGAGCGCCACACTCGAACTTCATTTACATGTGTGTGCTAAATATATGTGGCGTACGCCTAGCCAAAGCTTACAAATAAACCAGTGGCGAGCCAACAAAGAACAGTTCATGCCAAATATTTACATATGTTGCTAATGAATAGTTTGCTCACACAAGTGGCTACATTGGAACTGGATAGCGTGCATAGCCCACATCGGGAAACTCACTCTCAAGTCGCCTTAGAGCCTTTCCCAGTGAGCAGTGCCAAGGCTTCTGCATTGAAACTAACTGCTTGCTATCGCCTATGGGTCCTCCAGGCCAACCTTTAGCTAAAATTTAAGTTTTATATACTATTAAGTCGGACCATGCTAGCAAGCTTTACTCGAAAAAGCTACCTTTTCGTGGTGGAAGATAAAAGACCTATAAAAAGTGAAACTTTCAAAGAAAGAAAGAAAGAGAGAGAGAGAGAGAGGGAGGGAGAGAGGGAGAGAGAGAGGGAGAGAAAGAGAGGGAGAGAAATAGAGAGAGATGGAGAGATAGGGTAAGATATAAATATTTAAAGAGAAAGAGAGAGGGAGAAATGGAAAGAGACCAGAGAGAGACGGGGAGAGAGATAGCTTGAGAGAGCGAGAGAGAGAGATAGACATATATATAGATATAGAGATAGAGATAGAGAGATGGAGATATAGAAATATATAGAGGTAGTTAGATAGATAGATAGATAGAGAGAGAGGGAGAGAGACAGAGAGATGCAAAGATGTATTTATATGTTGATAGACAAAAGAAAGGGAGAGAGAGGGAAATAGAGAGAGAGAGAGATAGATAAAGAGAGAGAAAGACAGATAGCAGGGGAGCAAAAGAGGAAGATCGAAAAAGATATATATATATATATGACTTAGAGAGAGGAAGAGAGATAGATAAATGTATAGATAAAGAAAGAGAAAGACAGAGAGAAGGAGAGAAAGAGAAGAAGAGTGAAAAAGGAGGGACGAATAAGAAATATAGCTTCCTTAAGTATCTATGACTACTACTAATATATAAGTAGAGTTCTTATTTATACCTAAGGAAATCAGAGTCGATAAAATATCTCCCAGAGCTGTCATTCGATAGAAAACCAGAGAGAGAAGGAAATAGAGAGAGAGAGATATATAGAGAGAGAGACTGATGGAAGATAAGAGAGCAATGAAAAGGCAATATACTTCAATATAGAAGTGTATCTACAAGCACACAGATGGTCTGCTTTTTGACGCTTACAAAAAGTATTTCGCATATCAGAAATCTAACCACCAATTGACACTCATATTTGGCCAGGCTGAAGACAACTTAATTAGGCTACACTCAGACTGAGCGGCGAGCTTTCACTCGATAGAGAGTCACTTCTTGCCGATGGCAGATAAGAAAGCGATAACGTCATAATCAAACTGCTGGCAGTCAGTGTATATAAATAGTATTCAAACATGTAGCGAACTTATTTACTCAGAAAACATGTAAAAAGGCGAACGACAGGACGCAATTACCGCCCACCTTGGCCACCATGGCAAAAGGCACAACAAAAGCAAAAAAAAAAAATGAAGAAATGAAAAAAAAAGAAGAGAAATAACACATTGAGCTGTCCTAAATTCAACACCTTGCTTTGGTCAGCCACGTTAGTTGCCTGGCACACGCAATACGAAGCACAACTAACGGCTGCAGAGAGAAGTCCTTCAAGCAAATAATAGAGCACATCAAGTAGGCAGTTCGTTCCGAAGGCCTTTTCATAATTAATCGAGCACAGCACCAGCACATATGTACATACACAGTAATCAAGCACAAATTTATAGATATAAATATATATATATATAGATTTATAGAAATATTTATAACTTGATATACAAGAGCATAAGGAACCAAATATGTCTGATACACTTGCAGTCATGCCGATGAATGGACAGGCGGCGGGCCAGAATGGACGCAAGCGACGAGACAATGACGGTGCGTATGAGTAATATGTGTTAAGTGTTTTGGCCGAGGCCTAGGGCTACGCCAGCTGTCGCTTTCCCAAATCCTTGCTCAATATTTCAAGTGGCACACGCCTTCGCATATCGAATGCAGCGCGCGACCTTCAAGGTCTCAACAAAAATGAAGCGAATTTCCTGGAAAAACTTCGAAGTAAAAAAGAAAAAAGCTAAAACAAATTCCTAAAGTTGTTGAGACTTTAAGCTGAGCATTTGCTTGGCTTTTAATTTCGTTTTTTACTTGCAAATTGCATGCAAGCACGAACAGCCCAAAAAAAACTTGTGCCGAAATCGAAACTGAAAGAGCGATGAGCGCGGGGCACTGTGGGGGCGTTGGGCGTGTCTGGCCCTATGCAAATTTTCGGTGTTAAATTAATTTTTGACTGCACTTGGATTTTCATTTATTTTTCGTGGATAATAGATTTCTCGGTGAAGCTATCGACCATTCGCATCTGGATGCACGAAAAGGATATTGGCAAGCTGACGCGCATTTTGTGGGCGGGCCAGGGACAGCGCCTCTGTCAGCAGGCAAGCAATAATGGGCGTGTCAAGCGATTTCTAGCCGCCGTGCCGCACGTCATGGTAAGACCCTTTACGTGCAGTTCTTGAGTCCGATAACTGACTGCGATTGCTACAGAATGCCACGAAGGATCTGCATCAGGCGGTGATCGATAACAATTTGGAGACGCTGCAAATGCAGCTGGAGCCGCCTGTGCCGCCAGCTCTGGTTACGGCCAAGGATAGCAACGGTCTAAATGTCATACATAAGGCCGCTGGCCTGGGTCATACCAAGATATTGGAATATCTAGTCGGCCTGTGGCCAGACGGCGCACACGAGATCGATATAACGGGCAAGACGCCGTTGCACTGGGCGGCCAGTGCCAAGAACAATATGCGCTGCTATACGCTGCTCACACAGGCCGGCTGCGATGAGGAGGCACAGGATTATGTGAGTAGCACACACACACACACACACACACATAGATACACACACATACATATGCAAAGACACATAGATACACACACTGATGACCTGCAAGCAAATGAACTACTTTGGCAACTGTCCCAAGTTCAAATGATTCGTTTTGTTCTGAAATTGAGTTGTTCTGTGAACAAGTTCATTGGTTTGTCTAGTTGATCTAGTTTACGAACTTGTGGCAAAAATACAAAACATTTTTCATAACATGAAAAACATGAAAAGAGAGCATTAAGAGCATGGTATGGGATTCAGAACCAGTTCACTGGTTCATTTTTGCTACATGAAGAGCTCAATAGCTCTATGCTTCCTGAATTGGCGAACTACATGTGTTATTCAGAATAAGCTCAAGGGAATAAATGAACTGAATGAACCAGTTCACTAGTTCATTAATGCTACAGAGACAAATACATGAATAACTGGCTTTTATTAATAATCTTGACTAAAACGTATGTAAAAGAACTAGTTCATTTGTTGGTTCTTGAACTGCTGAACTATCCAAGAGCATAGAGTTGTTAGTCGATTAAATTTCGAATAAGTAAATACGTTTATTGTTTGTATTGTTTCGTGAACCAGTTCATAAGTTCATATGTAAGACGAAACGTAGCAGAATGAATGCATAAATGCGCAGAAAGTCAAGTTCTTAGCTCAAGTACTTTATCTTTCTTCCTCACTAGCTCAAGTACTTTACCTTTTAACGCTTCCCATTTAAATTTCTCAACTCGATTTTGCAGAAAATGAAGACTCCGTCATACTATCGCCATAAGCCGCACGAAATCGAACGAGCTTTTTTGGTCTATGTGCCGGAGGCGCCGCGCATCTCCCCGGATAGCGTCACCGATTGGGAGGCGCTGAGCGATGATAACGATAGCAATGCTGGCGGTGACGCCAGTCGCAGCAGCAGCAAGCAGGTAAGCGAGAGAGAGAGAGAGAGAGATGGATAGAGGGCAAAGGCCACAGCTGCGGCTGCGGCTGCGGCTGAGGCTGAGGCTTTGCTGCTTGGCTAATTGAAAAGCTTGTGGTGTCTTCAATAGAAATTGGGCGTTAAGCCGGCAGTCGTGGAGAACGGTCGTAAATCGTTGGACGACAGCGCTGAGAACACCTCCGAACTGGACACGAATGATGGGTAAGTTGTATGTTGGCAAACACCTTTGACATTGACTTGGCCTTTAGCATGGTCAGCTTTATGATGCGCTGCGTTGCGCTGCGGGGCTGGGCAGCTGGGTTGGGGCTAGCTAAAGGCTTTTGCAACATTCCATTTTTCTTTGTTTTTGGTTTGGGCATGGCTTTTGAGAGTTTTTTGCATTTTGATCAAAATCGAATCGAAATCCACGCAGTACCAGCGCCATTGAGGATGATGATTTATCCAAGGCGGATGCGGATGTGGATGGCGTTGCCGACGCAGAAGTCGATGCGACTGCCGATGCGAATGCGGATGCGAATGCATTGCCGCCGGCTCCACAGCGTCGACCGGAAACCCCGGCAGCTTTTGTAACGGCCAATGGCAACGACACAGCCGGCGACACCGAAAGCGAAGCTGAGGTAAGTCCCTACAAGCTGGCCAGGCCAAACGGCCTGCGCTACTTTTTGGTTTTTGCTGTTTAGACGCTTTGCACCCTGCGCTTTTGCTGTACAGTTCTTTAGTTTTGGGTCCAGCTGCAGCTACAAACGTTTGTCCCAGTTGCTGTCGAAGTAAGCTATTGTCGGCTATGATGCGGCTTTCTTTTTTGCCCCAGCCACACACACACACACAAACACACACCCACATAGATACTCACACTGATGTCCTGTAAGCTAATGAACTACTTTGGCAATAGTTCCAAGGCGACTCATGCTGGGTCTATGTGACTCTGTTGTAGATCTAGATATATAAAAAAAAGCCTTTCAGAAATAGAGCCATAGTTATTGCTTCAGAAGCTAAACAAGCGTTAAGCTAGGGCACACACATGCTTTACAAAAATATATTGAGCCTTCTCTCAATCGTATAACTAGAAATATTATATATATATTATATAACTAGAAATATTATATATATATTATATAACTAGAAATATTATATATATATTATATAACTAGAAATATTATATATATATATTATATAACTAGAAATATTATATAAACTTCGCCTGGGAGCATCAGCTGACTTGATGAAGACATTGAAAGTCCAAGGGCATCGCACAGGCGATAATAATGCCTAAGTTTGAAGATCATAAATACGAAAGCTTTACACAATTTTATATCTACACACAGTAGTCTCATGTAAACAAAACCTTCGAAGATAAGAAAGCGATAAAGGCACGAATTCTGTATATAATAACAAAATACACACACAAACACAAAAAGAACACGCATATTAAGCGCTTTGTCAGCTCGACTGATCAATGTAGATACAAATAAAAGAAAATATTAAAAAAAAAAACAAAACAAAACTTAGTCTTCACAAAGGAAAGCAATCAGTCGACAATTGTTTACTTTTACAGAATATTGCAAGAGCTGTAAGCGCTGAAGAAGCTGAGGAAGATGCTGTTAAAGTTGAGCCAGATGAGACGCAAGCAGCGATGGATGGGGCTGAGGATGAGGTCGGTGTTGAGCCGATTGAGAATGGAATTATGGCTGATGCTGTGAGTGCTGAGAGTGAGCAAAATGCAACTGAAAAGACTGAAGCGATTGAGAATGAACACGAGGCGGAAATGGAAATTGAAAAGGAAGCGGAAGCGGAAATAGAGCAAGAACCAGTGGAGACAGCAACAGCAACTGAAACCGAAACAGAAACTGCAGAAGAAGCACACGAAGAGAAGAATGATGAAGAGCAAACAATCCCAGCTGCTGCTCCTGCTGAGGAGGAGGATGTGGAGGAGGACGACGATGAGGTACAGATTGGCTTGCTTTAAATGCCAATTCATGTGCAGTCAGCAATTGTTTGAACGATTCGATGTTTTTGTGTGACGTTTGCTCAGACGTTTTTCCTTTTCTTTATTTTCAAATTGTGAACTGTACAAAAATAACCAACAAAAAAAAAAAACAAAACAAAAAACTTAATTCAGCTGCTGGCACACATTTTAAACCACATATATATATATATGTAAAACTTGATTCTGTACAACAAAAATAACAACAGCAAGAACAGCAACAGCAACGTAGCCGCAACAACAACAACTATATCTAACACAGCTATATATATATATATATATTTATATATATATAGCAAATATCTCCTGTCTATGAACTTTATACAAATGCTTAGTAAATGCTAGAATCGATTTCGTGTATTACCCGTATATTCATGTATTTTGTAAACGTGTGTTAAATTTCTTATTCTACTCAATATAAAGCTAATTCTTAAACTTAAACTAACCTAACTTAATCGTTTAGCAAATTAAACAAAAAGAAATATCAAAAATCTGCAATAAAATAAACGCAACTCGTGTGTTTTTGTTTATGTTTTGCACTCGAACTCAGTTTTTCGTGTTACTTTCCATTTTCCACATCCATTTTCCATTTGTGTACGTCGCTCGCCCACACTCCACTCGCTGCCCCTGCCCCTGCCTTCCTCGCTCTCTCTCTCCGTTTGTAGATCTAATCAATGGCAGCATTTCGAAATTGTTTTTTTTTTTCTGCGCATATCGATTTGGCAAACGAAACAAAATCAGCAGCTGTTTGGCTGCAGATACACTTTCAGTGCAACCTTTTCCTTTGCTGCTGTTAGTAGAAGGGGCCATATCTGCATATATGTGTATCTATAAATAATCGTATGTATTTGATGCTCGTGTGTACTCTGGCATTTCACTTTCGCTTGGCATGTCCTTCTTGACGTCTGCCTCTGGCTGTCAGGCAGCCATTCAAATGGCAACTGAGCATGCAATACGTCAAAAACAGTTGTAAACGTTAGATATTGCAGGCATATATATATATATATATATCTGGTAGATATGCATATTCTGCAATTTATTACTTTCTATTTGTTTATAAACATTTGTGCGGGCGTTGTTAATGACTGCAGATCGTATCTAGTTGGCTGCAAGGCAATCAGGTTAATGCAGCGTATGCGCAATATTACGTATACGTATGACAGCAGCTGTAGCAGCAGCAGCAGCAGCAGCAGCAGCAGCAGCAGCAGCAGCAAACGGCACCCACTTGCACCTCAACTCAAACGTGGCACCAATCCCCACTCCTCACTCCTCCATCCTACCCACGTATGTCGTAGTTGTTTTTAGTCCTGTGTTTCGTGTCCTTGTTTCGCACTTTTCACTAGTTTTTAGCTGTTTAGCTTTCTTAGCTAAAGAAATAAATGCGCAAATTCTCTGCAGGACGTGATAGCTGCCAAGCCAGCGCGAGCGCCGGAAGTGGAGCAGCAACTGGTGCCGGACAATGATGGCGGCGACTCGCTCACCTCGTCGCTGGCCATCGAGGGCTTCGTCCAGGGCGCCGCCGAGGATTATACAGTTCAGTCTCAAACATCAGCAGCTTATGATGAAGTGGATGAAGTATAAGCGGCTAAACCTTTTTCTATCTCCTATCTAAATCTTAACTGAATAACGTTCTCGCTCTATCATTTGTCATTTGCCAAACTCGCTAAATTTCCAAATTCTTCCTCTTTGATTTAAACTGACTGACGGCACCAATTCACACGCTTTCACTTTATGCGCACAAAACTGTTGTCGCTTTCGCTCTGTGGCCGCAACAAAGTTTATCTCATGGTTTCTTCATAGGATGTCCGATTGCAGCAGATCATTGAGTCGGGCGACATGGAGCAGCTGGCCGAGATAGTGCTGAATGGCGAGGGCGGACGGCTGCTGGGTCTCAAGTCCAAAGAGCCGGAAATACAGGCCTTTCTCAACAACGTGCCCAGCTATATGGTCTGTACATGCTGCATGCATCACGCTTGCTTTATTCATGTGCGACTGTCCAATAATTGCTGCACTTGCTCGATTTGCAGGAGAAAATCCATCGCGTGCACGATGCGGCACGTGACGGCAGTTTGTTGGCGCTGCAGCAGGCATTGGATCGCCGGAAGTTTGCCATTGCTAAGGACGACATATCACCAAATGGCGCCACGCCGTTGCACGTTGCCGTTCTGTTTGGCCACAGCGGTAAGTGCGGGTTGATGAGGGGGGAGGTGGCAAGGGGGAGGTGTGTAGCTATTCCCCATCTGCTCTGCCTGTGTCACAGTTTTGTTCTAGTTCTAACCCGAACCAACCCTCAGATATTGTACGCTATTTGGCTTCACGCTTTCCGGAGACCATGGCAATTACGGATAATGACGGACGCACGCCGCTGCACTATGCGGCCACAATTAAGGACAACGGCCACTTTTACAATGTTCTCTCGCAGCTGGGCGCCAATCCAAAAGCTCTGGACAAGGTATATATATATATGTACTTGATGTATATGGAACGCTTTTGCATAATTAAGGCATTACATACAACAAATTTACTTAATGTCTGAACTGAACTGAACTGAGCTGAGCTGAACTGAGCTGAACTGAGCTGAACTGAACTGAAGGGAAAGTAGCTAGATTTTCCTTGCACAGTTAACAGCTTTATCTAAGCTAGGCTAGCAGATTTGAGGCAGATAGAAAGCTGCTGTATGATGTGAGTGAGGATGTAAAGCACTTACAGAACGAAACCTATATACCCTTATCACTGAGTATACCAGACAACTAAGTCAAACTTAGATTTTCAGCATAATAATGAGTTGCTTGGCAGAGATAGATATATATATATATTAAAAGCGATATATTGATGTATATATAAGGCTATCTAGCTATCCAGCTAATATACTCCTTTAGCTTCTTGAACAGGTATATTAACAATATATCTTAGCTCGAAGTATAGATAAACAGACAAACAATAAGAGAGATTCATAAGAAATAAAAATAAAATAATAAAAAAAATAATTTAACTAATGTACCCTTTTAGCTTGGTGAGCGAGTATACAAAAGAATTAGCTGAGCTTTAAGTTTATCCAGTTGAATTAAGGATTGGAATAAACTAAGAAATAATAAGACAGATAATAATAACTTGACGAATATACCATATTTGTGTCTATCAAGTATAGATGCAGCTAAACAAACAAACAACAAGAAAGATACATATACAAGCGAATATACCCCTATTATTTTGAGAGCGGGTATATTAACAAATTATTTCAGTTCTCAATCTCTATCAAGCTAAAATATAGATGCATTTAAATCCAATATTTTTTTAAATTAATTGTTAATATGTTTTCTTATTGATTTCAAATATAACTAAATATTTTAAGCAATGCTCAGTTATTGTACATAAACTTCTAATTAGGATTCCAGAGAAGTTCTCTATCTATCTATCAATTGCATTATAAAGCGCATTCTCAGTTCAAGACTGTTTCGCTCAATAGCTCAATTCAACTGCTTTCAAATATTATTCCTATACTATCTTCTCAAGCATAGCCTTGACTCATTATTTTTTATTCAGCTGTAAACAAGAGCAGCTGTTCCTGCGTGCTACTCCTTTCCACTATTAGCATTGAAAAGGCTTAGCCATAGACTTGAAACTATTTATTAAGTTCATGAAAATGGGTCAAGTTAGGCCCCATATGACATTCATATAGGTCGTAGCTGGCTGAAGAGCCTTGTCAGCGAACTTGAATCAATATCGTTTATAAATAAGAGATTAACCTAGAGGCGTATGTTTAAAAATTCTACACGCAGCTGGGCCATACGCCTGAGTTCTATGTGGACATGGAGAAGTCCAAAGATGTGCTTACCTACAGCGAACTCTTGACCATATTTGGGGCCGAGGAGCTGGAGAACCAGTTGCTCAGCGATCAAGGTAAGCACTCATTTATCCACCTCTCGTTTTTTTTGCATAATTGAAAAAACTGTTTTATTTTGCTTTGCTGTTTGGCTTTAGCATTGTTGTTGCACGCACAACCAAAACAAACACACACACACACATACACTCATGCATAGACACACACTTGACTAGTCATCAAAAGGCACTCACAGTGAAAATAATTAAATAAGTTTTTTTTGTTTGCTAACCGAAACTTCCGGACTTGATTGGCTGGCTCGTTGACTCTGGCCGTGCCAAACATCGATTTTCAGTCATACACACACACGCACACCTACACGCCTGCCCCCACACACACACACACAGCCATAGTACGCGTCCTTCGCTGGTTGCGCACTCACGTATTCATACCTCGTATACCTCGTATAGCTCGCATAGTTAGTCAACTTTTGGTGGCTAATACGCGCAGTTGGTCTCACCGCGGACAGTTCCTAACGCAATAAAATGGCGGCAAATCGGGAATTTTTCAATGAGATTATCAATAATATTGACGATATTTTCGGTATGTAATTGATACGGGCAGCCAATGGCTACAGCTTTCTACTTAAGTTTAATTTTTATTAAAAGTAGCATTAGCTGACTCATAAAATTGATAGAGCTATGCTCTTATAACTTGAAATATTTCCAAAAATTTCTAACAACCCTGTCGAAGTTATTAAATGAGCCTAACAAAAGAACTCACATGATTTAGGCATATCAAAAGTAACTTAACTTTTTAGATCTTATGCAGTATTGCCATAATATGTGCACAAATTATTAACAGGCTGGCAACTCTGTACTGTCTAAGGTCCAAGCTGCAGTTGAGCGCTAAGTAAATATATAGAAAAGGCATTAAAGCATAAAAATATTTAATATATAGTATATATATATAATATAGTATATATATTTATATATATAAAATATATACATACTTATAAATTAAAATTGAGCATAAAATTAAAATCATTAAACAAAAAAAAAAAGAAATAAATAAAATAAAAATAAATATTCATAAAAGTAATACTTAAAAATAATAAAAAATACAGAAAAGTAATTCCAAAAATATTAAATTAAATATATATTTGTATATTTAATGATTTTTCATATTATTTTTTTTTTTTAAATCTTATTTAAATTTTTTTTATATATATAATTTTGTATTAATGAATATACATCTAAAATTACAATTTAAAAAATTAAAAAAGATAGAGATAAAAAAAATAAAAAGAAAAAAAATTGAAAAATATTATATATAATAAATATTGAAAAATATACTAAGAAGTTTCTTACTAAATAATAAAATAAAGTATATATATTATATATAAAAATATATGAAAAATTATGGTTTTGTTATAAAAAACATATAAAATGCATATATATTGTTGTTAGGCGGAAAATGTTGTTTTAGCTATGATCTATTCAAACTTTAATTTCATTTTAAATGTGAGCTAGCTATATATATATTTGTATACATATTTATATATATATATATATATATATATATATATATATATTTATATTTATATATATTTGTGCCATACTATTTAAAGGCTGAGTCCCTTTAAGTATTTTGTCATCTTTCATGGTATTATTGAACAAAAAACTTAAATAATATATGCCTAAAACATTTCGTGTACACTACCTCATCAATTGGGTTCAGAACTTTAACTACATTTGCACCTGTTTCAGCACACGCGCCTATTTAGAGCACACACAACGCACAACAAGTCTCTTGAGCTGCTTTGTGTTCGTTACCATGTGTCTGTCTGTCTGTCTGTATGTGTGTCTGTGTGTTTGTTGGTATTACAACTAGCCCGCTGTGCTGTACTGATAATCATCAACAATTACACCCAACGCTGCCCAAATACAACTCGAACAACAACCAGTGCCCGATGATCTGCATAGCGCTCGTCGCGAGCTCCAGGATGGAGAGATTGCGCGAACTCTCGAACGTTGCTACAGCGTCATTACGGAGTCCGGAAAACTGTTGAGTGCCTCGACAGCTTCGGCCTTATCACATCGCAAGCCGCTGAGTGCCTCCTCGCTGCAGCTGTCCGTGACGAGCTATTTGAGTCGCTTTCTCAAGCGGCCCGTCTATGAGAAAATCAAGCGCAGGCAAACGCGTCTGGATCACAATCTGTTCGATGTGCTGTGGCCGGCAATGCGTAAGACATCGAAGCTGCGCCATCTGGAGGAGGACATCAACTGTGGCATTATAGCGCCCGATTTCGATGTGTTTGTAGTGTTTCAGGAGTTTCTCGTGCCGCTGCTCAAGGACATGCACTGCCTGAGCATCGATGCGGAGTTCAAGCCACAGCCGCGACTCGCCTACTTTCCCATGGACAATGGCGAGCGCCTGAACACGGCTGCGTTTGTCTACGACGATGAGTCGCAGCTGGTCACGCGTTGCATTGTGGAGGCTTCACGGAATCTGGATCAGCTGGAGCTGCCCTTGAATCTGACCATAGGCCAGATCGAGCAGGCCGAACGCCTTATGATGAGCAAAATATTTACGGCCAGCTTTGCAGAGGCGATTGGCGAAACGGAATCGGGCAGCTATTATACGCTAACAGAGCTCATGGAGCCCGACTCAGACGTGGCCAAGCTGCTAGGCAGCTTGGGTCTAATGATACCGCTGCTCGATGGCAAGGATCTGGTGCAGGCGGCCGAATCGACTGCCTTCAACGGCGCACTGTGGCCCTATGGGCGTGGTGTCTATGTCAATTCCGCCCACAACATGGCTCTGTGGCTCAATTGCCAGGAGCATCTGCGCGTCATCTCGTCCAGCAGTGCCAAGGATCCGGCGGATATGGGTGCCACCTACACGCGTGTCGGTCGAGCTGTCTCCTATTTGGAGACACAGCTGCACTTCAAGGAGAGCTACCTGCTGGGCTACTTGCAATCGCGGCCATCCTATCTGGGCACAGGTCTCAAGATGACGACCATTGTCAAGCTGCCCAATCTGATGAAGGAGCTGGACAACTTGCGACATCTGTGCTCGGTGCGTGGCCTTAGCATGGTGACAAATCGCCTGTCCAAGCTAACAGTGCGCTTGATCAACATGCAGAGCATGGGCATTGTGGAATATGTCCTGTTCCAGGACTACTGCACAGCCGTCACGAACATAATGTCCCTCGAGAAGGACATGTCGCTAACGAACTCCAAGCACATAGCCACCATGCTGGTGAAGATCTTCAAGCGCAAAAAGAATAGCATAATCGATCGAAACTAAACCAAGATACCAAGATACAAACCCCAAAAGATACTTTATGAAAAGCACAATTCATACATTAAGCAAATGCAATTTGTATTGTAAATACAAGCGAGCACAACAAGCAAAAAACTTCTGAAATTGCAATATGTAGATATACAGATATATACAGCTACTCGATCGATTGAGATACTTTATAGAGCTTAAAAAAACTAATAATTAAATCAATACCAAAAACCACATCCTCAGCTTCGGCCGCAACGTCGCACGCAAACTGTTTTCATGAGATACACGTACGTACCTATTGCTCCTGCTACACCCGCAGCCATCCCGATCCTAATTAGCAATGTGTACCGTTCTTTGCTATGATTTGCCACGTTTATCAGTTACTAAGTAGTTATTATACTCTCGTCTCAACTCGACTCTCGCTTTGTATATATATAAATAGTTTATATATATAGATATATATTGAATGTATTTAGCTGCTATCGCAATCTTCAGCTGTGTCTTATGAAGCTTCTCTGCAATTCACAGGTCAATCGCAGCCCGTCAACTTTCAGGCGAATCCCATCTTTAAAACGGAACAGGGCAAATATCTAGCAGATAGTAAGTGGAGCATCTTCATCAGTGCAGTTGAAATAATCAAGTTTCTTTTGCTAGCTCTCGCAGATCCCTTGATTAAGGCCTTGACAGAAATAGCCAATAAACGTCCGAAGGATCCTGTGGCCTATCTAACCGGCTATTTGCAGCAATTCATGGGCCAGCGCAAGGCCATTACCGAGGTCATTGTCCATTCGGGCAACAGCAAGATCAGCAGCAACTCCACGGCCCTGGCCAACTCCGTCTCAAAGCTAAATAGCAGTCGCACGGGCAAGTCCCATGCGGACATCATTGAGCTCGATGCACATTCGCTGGCCGACGACCAGGACGACAATGACGAGGATGCTGCCTTGGCTGTGCAACATCTGGAGGAGCGCGATGAGCATGGCCAGAGCATGTTGCACTTTGCCTGCGCTCGCTCGCATCGACGCGGTGCTCTGTACACGCTGGTCGAAGAGTCACGCATCGATATCACCTACAGGGATGAGCTGTATCGCACGGCCAGAGATGTGGCGCTGCAGGCCAATCAGCCAAATAATGCCACTGAAATAGATCGATATGTGCTCGCTCAGGCAGTGCTGGGTGGGCATAAAGGCGAGGACTTCTCTGAAATTCCAATTCAACTCATATTCATCTCTCTTCCAGGTGAAGTGGAACCCTTTGAGCAGCTGGCCCTGCAGGGCTACGATCATATTCTCGATGTGGAAGACGAGAATGGCAAATCCATTCTAGACGTTGCTACTGAGCATCAGCATGAGGCACTTTTTGGCTTTTTAAACAGCTTACGCGAGCTGGAGGAGACACGCGAGGAGCTGCATCAAATGATACGCGATAAGAATATGGAAAGGCTCAAAGAGCTAACCGCAGTGCCCAATGTCAAGTGGCTTATTAAGACCAAAAACTATTATGGTATGTGAGAGAAGCAGCGAGATTGTGTGTGAGAGAGAGAGCCATGTCTCATCTATTCTTTGTTTAGGTCGCACTGCTCTGCACATAGCCGTGCTGAAGGAGTCGGAGGAAATGGTGGAGCATCTGGTACAGCTTTGCCCCGAGGCGCTCAAAGTGACAGATAATGTAAGTCGGAGATACTCTCATTGCTGATTGCTCTCATTAGTAATGCCATCTCTCTCTCTCCAGCTGGAGCGCACTGTCCTGCATTACGCCTTGGGCACCAATTTCTGTGAGAGTGTCAGCCGCATCCTTATACAAAATGGCGCCAAGCGCACGGCGAAGGATCTCAAGGGTAGACAGCCGAGCTACTACTTTATCAACAAGGCGGACATCTTGCGCCTACAGGAGGAGGAGGAGGAAAGTCGCTAAGCAATATTTATGTATAGAAATTCAACTAGCTCTAAGCTGTTCTAGTTCAATAAAATGAAAATCGTTGAGAAGCCATCGAAAGTTCCTTTGGTTGAAGCTGAACTGATAACAAATCTTACAGTCTTTACATGATATCTGCTTAAGTGAGCCGTTCAGATAGGCATTAAGATTCTCTTAAGCTGCCTTGAGCCGCCACGCGATACGGCCATTCACGGATGTGAAGTGCTGCACGTTGGGCAACTCACTTGAAGAACTTTTACATGCTGCGATAAGATTACGACTAAGTCCCTGGCCTTGCTCTGATTCCCATGCACTGCTCCGTGCGGGCAATGTTGACTTTACATTTCAGCTCAGCTCGAAGCAAGCAAATTCTGAGATTATTTAATTTGAAAAGCAGCTGCTTATATATATTAAAGAATTTCAATATGCAAAGCGCAAAATCTGTGAATTAAATGACTTTTTAAGCTGGCAACGCTAGTGAAGTAAGTGAAATTTGTGAGTTTGTAGTAGATGAATAACATGCAGTTGAAGAGTCTTTTATGTTTTCTTAGAGTATTTAAAATTCATTGAAGTCGAGTCACACAACTTAAGCTCAAATGGTCTGGATCTGCCGTCTGTCTAGTCATGAGCAAATAAATTGAACAGCAACAATAAGTGAGAGTGGGCGTGTGGCTGTGTGTGTGTGTGTGTGGGTGTGTGCATTGATTTCTGTTTGATTTGCTGTCAACGGCTATCGGACTGTGTGAAAATCCCTGATACTAATCACTGGGTGTGTGCGTGTGTATAAGTGCTGTGCGCTGATTTCAGACTAGTATGAAGTATTAACGCGCAGCTGGCTAGGTGTAAAGCCAGCCGACAACAATTGAGAGTTTGAGTTGCTCGTCGCAGTTGGACGTGCGCGGTTCAAAACGTAAGACTCGAGCAATAAAATGACAGCTGAAGTGAATAAAGGTAAAGAGCAGCTTAGCTCGATAAAGTGTGATGTACTTAGCTCAGTGCACAGCCTCGATAATCCTAATCTGATATATGTCTATGAAGTAAATATTATATATCAAAGTGTTCTGGGCATTTCCACATTTCGTAATTTACGAACCACATGTTGCTGACATGCTCAAGTGCCAGACTTTTATGTTAGGGAAATGACTAACTGAATTCCATTTGTGTTTGCCCTGACTTTGATTTATGTGGAGCGAAACTTGATTTAATTGGTCTTTGGACTCTGTGCTCTTAGGTCCCTTGCTGGGTCAGCGTCATGTGCAGACCTTTTTGCTGTTCCTCTCGATTGTCGTCAACTATATAGCCAAGTTCAATGCGGGCGTTGCTGTTGTAGCCATGACCAATGCGCAGAGCACAAATCCCAATTTTCCTGTGAGTATAAAGAAATAAATAAAAGTGAAAATCGAACATACCTTGATTCAAAATTGGCATAGGAATACGATTGGAACGAGATGGAACGCTCCTATATATTATCCAGCTTCTTCTGGGGCTACATTATGACCCAGTTTCTGGGCGGTTGGCTATGTCGTCGCTATGGCGCCCGTTTGACCATGTTCGTGTCCACTTTTGGCTCGGCTTTGCTGGTGCTGCTGGTGCCCTTCTGCGTGCCCTGGGGCGGTTGGCAGGCGTACTGCGCGATCCGAGTCTGCATGGGCATATTTCAGGGTCTCATGTTTCCCTGCGTTCATGCGCATTTGGCCAATTGGTGCCCGCCCTCGGAACGTAATCGGCTGGGCGCCTTGGCCAACACGGGTCTCGATTGCGGCACACTCTTGGCCATGTTCGTCAGCGGACAGGTGGCCGCCTCCAGCATGGGCTGGCCCGGCATCTTCTACATCTCGTGTGCTGTGGGCATGTTCTGGTGCATTGCTTGGCTGATCTTTGGCGCCGATACGCCAAGGCAGTCCAAGTTCATAAGCAAAGCGGAGCTGAGCTACATTGAGTCCTCGATCAGTGCGAATAGCAAGCAGGAGCAGTTAAAGGAATCACGGCAAATACCTGTGCCCTGGAAGGCTATTCTCACCTCGCTGCCGTTTTGGTCGCTGTTCTTGGTGCGCTGCACTCAATCCTGGGGCTATTCGACGCTGCAGGCCGAGATACCCGCCTACATGAACGGCGTGCTCTTGATGGAGATGAAGAGCAATGCTTTGTTCTCGGCGCTGCCCTATCTGGCCTCCTGGATTATGGCCTTTGTCTACTTGATTGTTTCGGATATTCTGATATCTCGGGGCGCATTGACAATTACGGGCATACGCAAGACCTACAGCTCGTTGGCCTCCTGGCTGCCAGCCATTAGCTTGATTGGCCTCAGCTTCTTGGACAGCAATCAGAAGACTTTGGCCATTGTTCTGATGACAGCCAGTGTGGGCATCAATGCCGGCGCCACAATTGGCAGCGCTCTGAACACAATTGACCTGTCGCCCAACCATGCCGGCATCCTGATGGGCATAGTCAATACAGGCGCCAATATTGTGCCCATCCTAACGCCGCTGTTGGTGGGAATAATAGTGAAAAATGAGGTGAGTCACCCAGAATGTCATATATGTCTTAATATCTAATATATATATATATAATATTTCAGCATGATCGCGTCGAATGGCAGTTGGTCTTCATCATATCCGCCGTCATATTCTTTTTTGGCAATCTATTCTACATTATCTTTGGCCGCATGGTGAATCAGCCCTGGAATGACGCAGACTTTTTGGATGAGCAGAAGCAAGCGCTTAGCCAAGAAGAGGGAAAAGCAGCCAAAGCCAAATCCAAATCCAAATCCAAGTCCTAAGCCTTTGAGGCACACAAAGAGAATGGCACATATTGCTGCAGTTACTCGATCGATCAGTATAGCTTTATTCTTACATCGAGCAGGCCATCTAGTGATAACAAGACATACGAAATAGCAGCGCTAATAGTTTTAACTAATATCAATTAAGAACAACTCACGGCTGGCTCGTAGACGAACAACCAACTCTAGTTAATAAATATATATTTAGAGACTCAACAAATAATTTCTGATATTGCTTATCTGCATTTAATGAGACTTCGTACTTCTGAGCTAATCTTTTTCAATTATGTTCTAAAGCACTCGATTTCAATTATATATATAATTGTAGTTGACTTTAACGTAGCTAAAATCACGGCGAAAGCCTGGGAACATGCACTGAATGATAGTTTTTGTTATCGCTCTATGGCTGTAGATTAAATGCCTTTACTTTTTGTTGAGAGTGTAGTAAATGGGGACATTAAGTCTAGTCTATATTATATGTATCAAGATTTATATATAATATGCATATAAATATATTTTTTATTAAGAAGTGGAACCAAATTCACTTTCCTTTACTCAAGCTACTGCAGTGCACAGATCTGCGAGCCCCGCACTGGAGGTAAGAGAAGGTTCAGAGACCTACACCTTCAAGACCCACTGACTGAGTGCATATTGAAAAAAAAATATATCAAATAAACCTTCTCTGTAATTATACCCTACAACTGAAGCAGAAATAAGAAAGTATTTTAAATAATTTCTGTTCAGGTTGAGTTGCCCAAGAATTCCTTTTATAAAAGGCTTTAAATACTCTTATATAAATTGTTTCAATAGCTAACACTAAATTAGACAACTGCAGAAATTAACAACATATGTTGCATACCACATGAACTTTTCTATGTGAAACTAGAAGAAAGTTAATGTGAAAAAATCATAGAATACTTTTGAGCGGCAAAGAACAAATTCAAGCACTTAGACCTAAGGGTTATAGATTAATGTATTGTTACAGATACTCAAGGAAGATAATACAAGCACATAAAGAAATAATCGAAAGATAAGCCTAGTCAGCATAAATTTTGATAAAAACAAGTACGAAAGCTGTAGTCGGGGTGACCGACTAGTATAAGCACTGCTCTTTTTCATAGCTTGTATCGAGCATTAAAAAAATACAAATAATAACAACATTAGGACAGCAAGATTCGAACCAACATCGCCAACACAACGCGCATCAACTCTACCAAATAAATAACAAATTCTTGAAGGGCATTAAATATAGGTATAAATATATATTATATATAGGTATATAATAAGTATAGGTTTAATATTATTATATATTAATTGTTTTACATTTTTTATGTTTTTACTGTTTTCCTACATTTTACAATTTTATTAAATATTTATTTAAGACACTATTGCCACTTTTAAAGAGAGAAACTTATCATAAATATTTATTTAATAATACATAAATAGATTATTTAGCGAAACATTTGTCAATTGTTATTATTTAATATATTTATATGTATTATTTACATATATACTTTCTTGTTTTTAAATATAAGTATATATACATGAATGTGTTTTTGTAAATATGTTATAAATATGAGAATTAAGAGAAGAGATTCTCTGACTATGACAAACATTAGGCACACTTTGCAAGTAACTTAATTACACCACAGGGAGGTAAATAAAATACAATGCTACTCAATATTATTTATCTTATTAAATATATAATAAAAGTAAGTTTAATAACTAACAATTTCAAAGAGAACAACGAAACATGATATTTATTAGCATAACGAAAATGATCATGAACAAATCATGTTACTAATGATCATTATCGTTAATGATAATTGCCAGTAATAATCATGAACATAAATGATCATTACTCCGAATGATCATTATCGCTAATGAGCATTACGACGAACATCATTATTGTAATAACAATTAGTGCTTAATAATAATTAATAATAAATAAAATTATACATTTAAACAATTAAATAATAAATTAAACAAAGACAATAAGCACAAACAATAAAAACTTAAATACATTTTTACAAACAATTAATATATTTATTTAAACAAATACAAATTATTTAAACTTAAACAATTTAACAAAAAACTTAAATTTATTCACCACTTGCACTGAACCACACAACGACTGACCCAGTCCAGGTCTCGAGCTTGACTGATCGCCCGCAGCCACTGCTGCGCCTTTTATACCCAAAAATCACTCAAAAGGCAACGCCAGCAGAGCTGCTGAGCCCTTTTTGAGTGAAAATTTACACTCATTTTTGGTGAAGTCAGAGGCAGAAGGAAATGTGAACAGACAGAGCTAGCTATATATTCTTACATTCCGATCGGGCATATAAATGTTATATATGTATATATATATGTACAGACGGACAGGTGGACGGACAGACAGACAGACAGTTTGACGGACAGAGGGAAATCGACTCTGGTTGTTGTTCTGATCAGACACATATGTATTTTATGGGGTCTGCCACGCCTCCTTCTGCCTGTTACATACATTTCAACACAACAATTTCCCATTTTCAATGCCTTCAGAGTTTAAATAAGTTTTTTGATTGACTGAAATAGAATATTTCAACAGTTAATTCCACTCAAATTTAAAAAGCGCTCATATTGTTGCCGTAGGTCAGCGATCTCACCTGATCTTACCGTAGCAATTGACTTTATGAATTCCATTTTCTGTTATTGTTTTCCATTTCAATTTACTATTGAACGCTGGAGTTCGGGTTATTTGGCTATTTGGGTAGCACGTGCCTCGCCTTATCGATGGATAATCAATGCTGATAAGTTGACCAAAAATGCGAACCTAATCAGCTACGATAAGATCGGACTAAAGTGTCAAGAACTGAGCTACCATTGGCTCCAATTATTCGGCTATGGTCAGGTGCTCGGATTAAACGTGGCAAAAACAAAGCGCGCAAGCCAAAAATTAAGAAAATTGGTTCTAGGACTCGAGCGGATAAAATGACAGCTGAGTTGAATAAAGGTGAGTGAAAGGTGGTCTGAGATGTGAATAAAAAAAGTTTTTTCTAATACAAAGTTTAGTTTGAAGAAGAGCATATACAATATCTATTGAATCAAATGCATTTTAACCCTAAATTGATAAATAATTAATCAGACTTTAATAATAAATTTCCATAAATAATTTTTTTTTAAATCTTGCAACTGCTCAACAGTCAGTGTGAATTTTCGAACTGTTAAACATCTCTGAATTATTTGACTCCTGCCATAAATATTATAATATATGTTTAGTCTGTGCGAACGCCATCGGAAATAAGCCATAAATATAAACATGGCACACATTCTCGTCGAGTGGCTAGCCTCGCTGTCTAATAAATGTCAAGGCAGAGTGCATGTTTTATGGCTTGTTCGGATTACTTGGACTTTAATCGCAACAACAAATAATATACGAAAAATAGTAAATAACTCTTCTATATGCTTAGCATTGTTATAAATTATGTTGCTGTGTTTTCAGGTCCCATTTTGGGCATACGACATGTGCAGGCATTGCTTATTTTTGTAACAATTACTTCTGTCTACATTGGACGCCTCAATGTGGGCGTCTCTGTGGTGGCCATGACCAATGCCGAGTCGACAAATCCCGACTTTCCCGTGAGTAAACGCAACTATCCAGAACTACTTTGAAATTGCCAATTTACTTTAGGAATACGACTGGACGGAGGCAGAGAAATCGTATATCTTGTCCAGCTTCTATTGGGGCTATATTATCACCCAGTTTCTGGGCGGCTATTTGTGCAAGCTTTTCGGCGTGAAGAGCGTCATGTTTTGGGCCACGTTCGCGTCGGGCGTGTGCAGTGCCGTCACGCCCCTTTTCATCGGCTGGGGCGGCTGGGCCACCTATTGCGGCATACGTGTGCTGATGGGCTGTGCCCAGGGCCTGATCTTTCCCTGCATTCATCAGCATTTGGCACGCTGGTCGCCGCCGGAGGAACGGAATCGCTTGGGCGCCTTGAGTCACACGGGCATCGAGTGCGGCAATGTTATGTCCATGTTTGTGAGCGGCATGATTGCCAAGGGCCCCATGGGCTGGCCGGGCATATCGTATATATCGGCTGGCGTGGCCTTTGCCAGCTGCGCTCTTTGGTTTGTCCTGGCGGCCAACAATGCCACCGAATCACGTTTCATTGGCGAGGCCGAGAGAAATTATATCGAATCATCCTTGAAGCACGGTCAGAATTATCATAAAGCCGTCATTCCTATACCCTGGCGCGCTATTTTCACATCGCCACCGTTCCTGGCGCTGATAGTGGCCCGTTGCGCTGAGTCGTGGGGCCTGAGCACGCTGCAGGCCGAGATTCCCGCCTACATGAACGGCGTGCTGCAAATGGATATCAAGGACAATGCGCTATTCTCGGCCTTGCCCTTCCTGGCCATGTGGATCATGTCGTATGTGTATCTGGTCCTTGCCGATATCCTGCTCACGGGCAAATGGCTCTCGCTGACAGCCATACGCAAGACCTTCAACTCGATGGCCTTCTGGCTGCCAGCTGCTACACTCATTGGCATTGGCTTCCTCGACGTGGACCAGAAGACACTGGCCATTGTCCTGATGACACTCAGCGTGGGCTTCAATAGTGGCTCCACAATTGGCAGCTCTCTCAACTCCATCGATCTGTCGCCCAATCATGCCAGCATCATCATGGGCATTGTGAATACAGCGGCCAATGTGGTGCCCATTGTGACGCCACTTGCTGTGGGCATGATTGTCAGCAATAATGTAAGCCTCGACTTTTATTGACTTTGTCATTGCTTAATCTGCTTTTCTCCTCTCGCACAGGGCGATCGCAATCAGTGGCAAGTTGTGTTCATTATCTCCTCTGTGATCTTCTTTGTGGGCAATTGCATTTACCTGGCCTTTGGCACGGCTGTCTCGCAGCCCTGGGATGCCGAAGATTTTCTGCAGCAGAGGCCGCTTGCCGAACTGGCCCTGCCCGCCGCCCTGCCTGAGAAAGCCGACTCGAAAAAGTCAATTAGTTAATTGAACGCGAAGCTAATCAAGTATTATCTATCCAACTAATCGTATCTAATGTCAAAAACACAATTTCGTAAAACTCAAAGCTGTAAAGTACAGAAATTATGTTAGATATACTCAACAGTTGCCATGTTATTAACAGCATTTCGTTATGTTAATGAAAATGTTAGGCATTATCAATAAATGTTATCGTAAGACACTGAGAGAAAACTGAGCGCTAAAAGAGAACTAAATAAAGTATATATAAATGGTTTTTTGTCTTAGAGTTATATTTTGCTTTAACTATATATGATATTATATATAATAATATATAAAATATAATTTATATATATATATATTATTTTTGTTAAGAGATTCATATTTGAGAACCATTATTTGCTATATCAATTTGTTTCTTATTGTTGATCAGCTGATATAGCTAAGCTGAGTTAGCTAACTTCTTGCATCTGTCTGATTGATCATACGAAATATATTTGTATAATATATATATATATATGTATATATAATATATTATTTATATATTTTATATATTATAATATATTATTATTATTTATCTCAAAAAGCTCAACTGAAATTTATAAATTTTCTGTTGCTTCCATACCTCGCGCTTTCAACTTGTTTCTATTTTTTTGATATGTATATGAAATATTATTTGTGCTCTTATCTTTCTCTGCTAAAGTTTATTCAATTTGCTATAAAGATTTTTCTAAAGTAGATAAGAATATCACTTTCATTTTTTAAATACCTGCCATGATTCATAATTAATTAACAATTATTGTATTCTCTGTCAGCTGCGTGATATTGATAAGCAAGCGAATACTTTTAAGAGTGCCAAATGAACGAAGTTAAATAAAGTTTGAGCTGAATTGTTTATATACATCAATATTCTAGTCTTTTATACCCTATATAAGAACCTTAAGCGAACTCGCAGTCACTGAAAGAGCTCTATCTTTTACACGTCATGTTTTAACACTATCTTCTATTTCAAGTTATTCATAACATTGATGTATGACTTAATGTTATGTTCCAAGCTAAACCGAATTAAAATATTTATATATATAAATATATTTTATTATATCAGCTGTTCACTCATCTTTGATTACCCTATAGAAAATCTCTGCAGCAGATGCCGCATAGTTGCTAATTTTTAATAGAGATCCATGCTTACCTTTAGTTAAACAATAATTTGTATTAAAAAGAAATTAATTTTCAAGTAAAAATCTAATATTCTTGAATATGCACAACCAAATTAAACTTTGTACAGGAAGTTCCTCCAAGTTCTATTTTTGCAGCCCAGTTTTAAATCACATCGTAAAGCTGAAAGCAGCATTCAAGTATATTATGAACACTTGATTAAGGCGATAAGGCCAAAGTGCCTACAAATGATATATAATATATATATTTATATATACAGACACTCAAGAGTAGTCGAGCCATTAAGAGCATTCCATATAGCAATATCGATCAAGTAGATAAGATTTATATGGAATGAAGTGAGTCTTGAGGCTTTTTCCCATGACTGAATGTCTGTTAGTTACAAGAATTGTGAAAGCAGACTAAAAATGGTATGGAAATAATCAGTTGGCTCTAAAATTGCATATGAAAAGTCTGTAAAGTGAAATTTAATTCTCGGAAGGCCGTTGTTTATTGTATAATATAAAGCATTAATCATCTTTCAGTTTTGGGAGTGGAACAATAACGTGTCCCGTCAATCTGCTTCTTCCTTCTTAGCCACTATAATCGCAAGACTCTCGGGGTCTGTTGATAACTCAATTGAGTTTACTTTATTTAAAGCGAGTCAATAAAATGTTATAAATAATATTTAGCAATTGTTGACATTGTTATTCCCCTGCAAGACAGAGTTTTTTTTATATGACCACCAAGTGGTACAATACACTGCGAGAAAAGTTTGTGTAGCTTGCAGGCTGAAAAGTGCGAACAAAGTTAAAAAAAACTAATTTGAAATCAAATTAGATTAAGCAACTCAAAGCAATCGTTGATAAAATTTGTTTAGTTATAGATTGGACATGCCGAAAGTACTTATTTTTTTCAGTGTACTTGCCACTTGAGCGGCAATAGATTATTATGATTATATATTTCCTTTTTTTGCGAATATTTTGAAATCATATCGATTATTTGTATTATTTATTTAGCGGGTAGCATCGCTAATCAAGGCATTATTATTTACTTGACAATTTGATTAAATCCATAAAGCACATTTAAAGAGATTCATTCACATGCCAAATATTAACAGCTGGCTTGGCTATGTGACAACAGTTGTTGGCCCAAACGCGATGTTGACTAAAATCGCTTGGCAAATAAACAGTTCAAGATCAGACGTCACCTCATTTATGTTCTGTTCTTCTCTGTTCCCTTTCTTTTTGCTGATAATATTTGCATTTAGGCATAGATGTTGGGGGGACGTCATTTGCTGGTGGCTAAAAGCTCGAAGTTTTGCGTCAAGCGCCCGACATTTGCTTGATTATACAATAGCGGCACGCTCTCGACTGAATGTGCATGAATGAATCGCGCTGCGTGGCTAGTCAAGCCCGGCCAGCCAGACAGCTTGCAGTTGCGTTTTTATATAAAAGTCAACATTGCCGTAGCGACCAGCTCCAGAAGCGTTCCACCCAACAACTGGTGCGCAGATACACCTATTTGGAACGGCACAGAAAAGTAGAAAGGCAAAAGGAAACCAGAGCATAAAGACTGAGCCATGAATAGTAGTCAGTGCCAGGTAGTCAAGGGTCCGCGGATCGGTGTGCGACATTTGCAATCGCTGCTGCTCTTCCTGGGCCTCACGGTCATACACATTGCGCGCTTGAATGTCAGCGTGGCAATTGTCGCCATGACCAATGCAGCATCCACGAATCCCAATTTTCCGGTAAGTTAACAATTGCCACTGCAGCTGCAGCAGCCAAGCTCAATTCTACTGTCTGCAGGAATACAATTGGACGGAACGCCACAAGTCGTATATACTATCCAGTTTTTATTGGGGCTACATTTTGACCCTGTGTCCGGGCAGCTTTCTCTGCCGTCGCTTTGGCCCGAAAGTCGTGTTCTTCGTGGCCACCATTGGCACGGCCGTGTTTAGCCTGATAACACCGTGGTGCATCTCGTGGGGCGACTGGCAGGCCTTCTGTGCCATACGCATTTTGCAGGGCCTATTCCAGGGCGTCATCTTTCCCTGCGTGAACGAACATTTGGCCATGTGGTCGCCGCCGGAGGAGCGCAATCGGCTCGGCGCCTTCAGCTATACGGGCACGGATTGCGGCACCGTCTTGGCCATGTTCATCAGTGGCATGATAGCCAATGGCGCAATGGGCTGGCCAGGCATCTCGTATGTGTCGGGCACATTGTGCGTCGTCTGGTGCATACTCTGGCTCGTCTTTGCCGCCAATAATGCGACTGAGTCGCGTTTCATTAGCGAGGCCGAATGCAAGTATATCGAATCGTCGCTGCAGCACAACGAGGACTTCCACGAGCGCAGCATACCCATACCATGGCGTGCCATTTGCTGCTCGGTGCCATTCATGGCACTGCTCGTGGCCCGCTGCTCGGAGACGTACGGCTTGAGTACGCTGCAGGCGGAGATACCCTCGTATATGAACGGTGTCCTCAACATGGATATACAAAGCAATGCAGTGTTCTCGGCGCTGCCCTTCCTGGCCATGTGGCTGCTCAGCTATGTCTATCTGATTGTCGCGGACATTGTGCTGAAGCGCAAATTGCTGTCGCTCACCGCGGTGCGCAAACTCTTCAATACGCTCTCCTTTTGGATACCTGCGGTGACATTGATTGTGATCGGTTTCTTGGGCGAGGATCATGCCAACTGGGCCATTGCGCTGATGACGCTTAGTGTGGGCGTCAATAGTGGCGCCACCATTGGCAGCTCACTGAACACAATTGATCTGTCGCCGAATCATGCCGGCATCCTCATGGGACTCAGCAACACGGTGGCCAATGTGATACCCATACTGACGCCCCTCATCGCAGGCGTCATTGTTGTGGACAAGGTAAGAGAAATTGAAATTGGCTCTGCTCAGCTTAATGATGTTGGTTTCTTGTTGCAGCACGATCGGGGTCAGTGGCAAATCGTTTTTGGCATTGCAGCCGTCATCTTTTTTTTGGGCAATTGCGTGTTTCTGGCTTGGGGCACGGCGGAGGCTCAGCCGTGGGATGCCGATGACTATCTGAAGCCGAAAGATGCGGAAACATGCCAAGAGAAGCCTGCACCTGTTGCAACTATAGCGTCAGCCAAAGAGTCCGTGCTGGAGCAGCCTATGAGCTGGTCCGAACGGTACACGACAAAGGTCACGGATTAGTTTATAACGGACAAAGAATTGTATCAGTATTAACAAATAAGTAGGATGTAATTTATTTTATTTATAAGGTCATAAATGTGAGCTTAGGTAAATTATATTTATAGAAATCAAATTCAGTTTATATATATTGTTTTTGTTGGGACGGATTTGAGTACTTCAGCTGCAAGGGAAAAGTCAAGAGTCGCATAATCTAATCGGACAATTTCTATAAAATATATATTCGACATTTTTATGAATATTAAGGTGAAATATTTGGTCAGAAGACTGCATTATCTGTAGCCAACTGGAGCCAGTCGCTGGAGTGGGCGGGCGACTGAGGGAGCGAGATAGATCAAGCAGTTGTGAAAACATTTGCCACAGCTGTTTGATTTACCAATTCAATACGAACTGATAAGCGCTACGTATACTTTATCTTGTAGCTATTTATGTGCTTGGTACCTGCTTCACGGGCAGGGCCAGAACGCAGAGTTTGAGGCCAGGCACGCGACTCGCTTGGGGTCTCTCTCCCTCTCTTTCACTCTCTCGCTGTCTTTCTCTATCTAATCGAAGTTCAATTAAAGCTAATCGTTGCCATCTGATAAAATCTAGATTCTGATCGTAATTGATTTCAAGCGATTGATTTATCATGCTCTATCCCCAAGTATTTGCACCTTGATAAGAATTGTCTGTGCCGTAGTCCACTGACCTAGACTATATATATCTATATATGTGTGTGTATGTATAGATATATATGTATTTGTATCTCTATTTGTATTGGTTTGTTTATCAACAAACTATTATAAAGTCGTTGACTTTATCTGTTTTGCTTTGTCATTTGCTCAACTAAATCGTATCGTAAGACTTTCTATAAATGGAAGTCTATTTAAATTTTATTTTCTTTTTTTTTTGTTCTAGAAAATAGTTCACATATATTTTATAATAATTAGTTATGAACTAATTAGTTTATTTTGCTAATTGTGTGTTGCCGATAGCGCCACTGGCTCAAGTACTGAAAACATTTTACACTTTCCATTACTCTTGTTTTGTATGTTGACTTTCAAGAGACGCTGTATATATAAATATAAATATATAGTTGAGATGAGTAATATATTTAAATATACGTAATATATATACATATGTTATATATATATATATATATCCATCTTTTCTAGCTCCTCTTTCCTTATGTTCTTTTACTTTTACTCTTTATTACTCTTTGCATTAGCCTACAAATGAGACAACCCTAGAGTCATGCTTTGCATACGAATTATTGTGTGCGCTTAAAAGTATGCTACATTTTTTGCATTGCTCTGTTAATGAAGTCTTTGCTGATTGGTTCAGCAGGTTCAAAGTTATAAAAGCCAACTAACTTTTGATTGGAGGAATTTAATAACAAATAAAGATAAGTTAAAGCTTAAATTGCAAATAATAAGAAGTTCGTTGTCTAAATCTTTTGTTATGAGAGACATAATGCATAAGCAAACATAGACATATGTTTATCAATCCACATTCTTATTTGTAAGAAAGTTAATAGATTAAGATTAAAATTAGCTAACAAAAGAATTGTCCAGAACAACTTTTAAATATGCTAAGTTTATAGAAAACAGTTAATTGTCCATTTCCTACTTAGAACTCAAAGATTTATATACTTATTATTTTTTTTTAATTGCAATTTTATATACATATGCATTTATATTAGTTAAAATTCGTATAGATAATTTAGATATGTATTTAAGTTTATATAATGCTTCTTCTATGTCACCAAATTAGTAACTCCTATAGTTATGTTAATGCTTAACTCGATCATTTACAGCTGCAGCCATAAATTATGCTAGGGAAAAGTAGTTTTGCTGCTGTTAGTCAAACTCATTAGCACCTTTGCTTTCTACCAACTCAAAAGGTAGTTCACATATGAAACATGTATTATATATATAATTATATATCATTTCCAATTCAGAACTAATTTAATATTTCACATACTATAAGCGCGCTTGTGTGGAAAGCTATTTTAATAGCTCTTTAATTAATTGAATTCGAATTTATTAATGATTGCATTTTTGTTTTATTTAAGCCAAGCTATTTAAACTTTATACTTGTATATGTGACTGATATATACGAGAAATATATATTGTATATTTCTCGAGTCTCTAGCAGCAATAGCGCCATAAATAATAGTGTTTACTTTGTAAAAATAATAGTAATTCGCGATTTGACACGCCTTCAATTGGCGTATCCAAATTACTTTTTCAGACGTGGAAGCATATGATATATATATTTTGAAATTTCAACTCTCTATTATTAAGAGAGTGCTCATGTAGACAGGTAAACACATAGCTAGATTGATATTGCATGAAAGCCAATATACCCTTTTCACTTAGTCAATGAGCATAAGCAGAGCAAGCAATACACACGAGTCTAAACAGCCAATATACCCTTTGCACTTGATGAACGAGTATAAGCTAAGAGCTACTGTTGAAACCCTGAATACGCCTCAAACTCCCCTCGCCGCTGCGCCCAATTTGGCTTATCTCTAAGTGTTCTGGGGACCTACCTACCTGCTGTTATTGTTGTGTTGTTTGTGTTTGTTTCCAATATCTGGCATGTATTTAGCGTGAAGACAGAAACATAACTGACAGGTAGAAGCATTTTATGACTTAGCCAATAAATCGTTGCCTGATGGTCTTATAATTGAATTAAATATTTGCAGATTAGATTAGAGCTGAGGTTTACAAGGCAATATAAAAACGAACGGATGTTACAGATATTTGTTGACATTCAGAATTGTTTGCTTCCGACCTGAATAGATTTGTTTGGGATAATGGAAACAGTTACAGTTGAGATAAGCTTAGAGATCTTAGTGATGCGGAAAGATAGTTTTCATCATGGTAGCAACTGCTTATGGCTACAGAATTAGTTAGGGTATTAAGTGTGCGTGGTTAAATTTGTGCTGAGCGCGCTTTTGATTGATTAAACTTTAGCCTGTCAGACAATTGACGCAATTCGCGCGTCAATCTTTGGCATTTGTATTCCTCTTGTGTGTTTTTTATATATCTTTGAAAGCATTTTAACATGTACTCGATAATACCTAGTATTGTACATATTATTGTGAGAGGAACTTGTTGATAAGTCTGTAAGATTTTATGCTCTACTAACTACTGAATCGGCCAATGAGACGCTGAGTCATGTCTATTATTTATATATTAACTCGAATCAATCAGAAGATTCAACAAAGTACAATTAAATCGTGTTACATAAACGCATTTGCATAGAACTATTAAGCCAGGGAATAAATATAAATATCAGTTAATGATTACATATATATATATATATATATATATATATATATATATATATATATATATGAATAAATACATTAAGTACAATTTGCCCATTCAATGTACGTAATGCGGTTCGGTTGAAAGACCGCAGACTCAAATAGCAGCTAAATCGAATTGCTGTTTGGCATAGCTAATCAGACTTTTGGCCTAGGCCATAGAGTGCCCAATCAATGTCATCGAATGTCGCCTCAACTGTTTGGCTCAAATCGCTCGATCGCATGGTAATTAGCATGCGCCACGTTGTGCTCACACTACCGAATCATACTAGATACCGCTAACATTATAGATGTGTTTTCGCCAATTTAGTCGGCCACAAATTTGCTACCATTGAGCGGGTGACTAAAAACGGGGGAACTTGAACTTGAATTTACACGTGACCGACGCTCGGAGAGCTAACGTAATGAAAAAAATTAAGGAACTGAATATGGTTGGCCAACTTTGGCTATGGTCAAGTTCATACAACAAACCGTTTTGCATATGAAAACCAACCAAATTTTGGGCTAATCGGCGAGCAAATACCCTGGACGTGTTTATTTGAAATAATGTATATTTTACTTATAGTTATTTATGGTATATCCATTAATGGTAGGTTGCCTACATATTTTATATATCTAATAGAAATGTCTCTACTGGAATTATGCCTGGAAATATATTAAAGTTGGGCAGAAATATTCTATATTCCCGAAAATATGTTTGTTTATAGGAATCTATAAAAGAAAAACAGTTGTCTTAACGTCTATCCAGTTTCATATACCCATTTCGAAAAGTATATTGTATATATTATCAATTTATATACAAAATTCTTTACACTGTTTTCTTTAAACTTGGTCAAATCTCATTTGAGCATAATCACTTTTAGTAAATATTTTATATACGGTATATATCTTACTTGCAGAGTATCTAAGGCGAGCTACCCATACAGAAAAAAGTTGTTGAACAGCCCCACAGTCTATAACATTTCCCCTCAGCTGAACCACTCTAAGCAGCAGCACTCCAATTACAGGGTATTTGAAACAAAACGATGAGCTGCTTTGGCTCATAGCACAATGCAATGCGGGACACACGTCGTAAAATAAATAAATGAAATGCATTGCATTGCAACTGCTCATTTAGTTGTTGTAGAAAATATGTCAATCGTATAATTGCGACCTGTATTACCCATATAGACAGTAGATATATATATATCTGTCTAACTGTAGAACATGAACGGGCGGGCATTTCGTATTGCAATTGCATTACAAACAGCAATTATTTTCCCCCTAAACATTGCAAACTGTCTAAATAAAAGGAATCTAAACACAAATCGTACGTATCATTAATATGTTATGTGGCCACAACTTGTACAGCTTCAGATACAGCTATAGATACAGATACAGCTGCATTTACAGCTGCAGACACAGATAGAGCATGGCGTGGCTGGTTGCCTTTGAGCACAGCAAAACTGCTTCATCATTTGGTTACAGACATTTCGTTTATATAACTATTAGAATTTAGTTAATTGGTCTACGATTTATGATCACTCGCATATTTCAATGATATTTGTTGGACGTAAAACTCTATGACAGACTTCATAAATCATCACAGCCGGAACCGAGCACAACTGAGCAACTGTAAAGATTTACACTTCAAAGTTGTTGGCATCAAAAGGTTTGAGTCGGGAAAGTTTTATTGATGGGTTGATGGAGGAGT